ATTAAAACATAGTGACATTAAAGGCTTTTTTTAAAATTGATAACAGCTGTATCGGCGGTGGCAGAGAGTGTCCTGCGCTGACTCACCCCCAGCTGATTATGCTCCTTTTTTAAAGTATTATCTTGCAGCACATACATGGTGGAACTAAGATTAGAATTCAGAGGCTGTGGGTTTGACACGTCAGTGAGATCAGCGGACGGCTGCACAGATGGGTACGATTAAGAGACCTTTTATAGCACTGTATAACACTGAAACGTCTTAAAGCGCTTCGCAGGTAATGCACGCGTGGTGCTTCAGCAACTACACCAACTTATTTATGTAGCGTTCACTTAGGACTAAATGGGGTCAGACGCTGAGAAGAGAGAGGGAAGAGGGAACGCAGGGGGAGTTAGAAAACCATAGGTAGGAAAGGTATAAGGCAGGATTCAAAGATTGATAGAGAGGGAGTGAGATGGGAGGTTACGGGGAGAGTAACAGAGGTAAGGGATGTTGTGGCTGAAGCTTGGCCACCTAAGTCACTGGGAAATGAAGCGTTGTTAATAATTTGGAATTCATATCATGATTGGGGTTCTTTCTATTTTATTATCTCGTAAAGTTTCCAGCATTCTCAGGTCGTGGTGTAATGGACGTGCTGTGCTTGGAGCAGCAGCAGGAAGTAGGACCCCCCCCCCACCCCTTTCTACCCCACTCAATATTCCCCCCACACCTAACATTTCTCTGTAGGACCCTTTTTCCCCAGTTCCCTTCAGCCACAATACCAACACCTTCTGCTCCCATAGGGACACCTACAAAATATACAGCTATAGTTTACATTGTGCTTTGAGACTTCCTCCTGAAAGGCATTATATCAAATATAAGGATTATTGCTATTGTTAAATATATTCTTATCCACGGCTTAACCCTTTTTGTGAACCAATAAATACATAGACAAGATAGAGCAAAAAAAGATCCCAGGTACCAATCAAGTCCATTTCAGGGGAGTCTTTCTCTGTGCCGCCCCCCCCCCCCCACCCATATAATATACCCCTCTCCCACCGCTGTATATAGAGATCAACCAAAGAAAGTCCTCTGGCAAGGAACAATGATTTTTCTTTCCACCACACCGTATACAATCTAAAACCACACTATGCGTGCTGCAATCCATGAATGTATGAAGAGGAAGACTGTAAAACCGTATGAGAGAGCAGGGGATTGGGAGTAATAATAATAATAACCTTTGCATTTGATATAGTGCCCAATCACGTCATTGAGACATCTCAAAGCACTTCAAAGAATATATTGCAAGCTACTGTGTATTTTGTAGGCGAAACGCGGCAGCTAATTGCGCACAGCAGTGTCCCACAAACAGTCGTGGATTGAGTGATCAAATTTTTCCTCGTGTGGAGGAGCCAGTACCAGCATCCTCCTGATCTCTGTGATTCTGTGTGCAGTATTGTACCAATACCTTTTAACGATTGGAACCGGTTGCCAGGAATGGTGGTTGAGGTCTGGACTCGTTTTTTTTAAAAAAAACAGCTCAATACTGTGAGGTGAGCTCGGAGGGTGGGTGGGTGGGTGTTCTGGAGGGATGAGATCAGACAGACCGATCAGACTGAAAGGTCTTCTTCATTCAAACTAACCTTGTGATCTTGTGCGGTGAATTGGGATTGTAACCTGGGCCATTGTTAAATCCTACAATCTTCTGATAGGTGTGGGCCATTCAGCCCCTCGAGCCTGTACCGTCATTCCGCACAGCAGTGTCCCACAAACAGTCGATCATGGCTGATCTGTACCTCAACTCATTTAAACATCTTTGCTCCATATCCCTCGGTAACCCTTATCTGATAAATCTCTATCCACTTCATTCTTGAAAACTTTAAATGATCCAGAATCCACAGCCTTTTGGGGGGAGAGAGTACCAGATTTCTGCTACTTTTTGTGTGAAAAAGCGCTTCCCGATTTCACTCCTTAACGGTCTAGCTGTAATTTTAAGATTATGCCCCTTTGTTCTGGATTCCCCACCAGAGGAAATAGTTTATTTGTATCGTTGATGATCGCTTCTTTCTTGTTGGAAGCAGATACCTGAAATCTTCAGCGTGCAGGAAAATGAGACTCAGGGACTGCTGTATGTAATTGTAGTGAGGATGTACGGTGTGCAGTGCGGATGTGAACTTATGGGGCTCTGGTGATGGGGGGAGGAATGTCTGCGGTTAGATTTATGTGGCATTGCTGGCCTTTCTGTGAATCATGATCCCAAGTCTGTGTCGGACTGTAACCAATGGGCTTCGTAAGAACTTCTGGACTCTCCTTTTCTCCCCCCCCACACCCAATTTGATCTTACTTTGTTTTTGGACAGAACATCTTTTTTTAAAAAAAAAATTAAAATCAAATGGATCACAATTCTTTATAATGTTTGAAGTTTTGTGGGGAAAAATATTGACCAGATTCTCTGCAGAACCTGTGTTTATGACCTTTACAACCTGACAGACTGGACTCTGGCACCTTGAAATGTAAAACATTTTTTCCAATTGAACGTCTGGTTGCTGATCGGTGGGTTTTAAGTACAAAAGTGTTGCAGTTTCCCTGCACTAACTCAGAGCTCTATCCCAGTCAGTGTTCATTTACTGACCTCAATGGTGCAGGTTTGTCTCTAGTGTAAAACGGTCCCTACCCCTTTCCTGCGGAGATTCTCATTGGTGAGAAGGAAAGTGAGGTGGGTGGGGTTGAGGCTGTCACACAGTTAGCAGGAAGAGGCATGTGGCAGGCCAGGTGGTTCAGATAAATGAATTCCACGCTGTGATGAGAGGAAACTGCAGAGGAGCCGATGGAAGGAATAGTAAGTGAAGAGAGCAACTGCTTCGTAGAAACGACAGCACGAACGGGAGGATGCCATTCGGCCCATTGAACATCTGCTAGTGCCACATCCTCCGCTGGAGCTTGGCTGCCTAGCCCACAATTTCCCTGCTTCCCTTTAACCATTAATGTTCCTGTCCACGGAGCCATTAGAAAACAATTTGGTGTTAGCTTGCCTGTAGAAAATTGTCCTCGGGACTCAATGTTGCTGGGATCCGATGAAGACAAGGTAGTGGCAGTATGGATTTCGAAGTATGTATGTTGCTCAGCTTGCAGCCTGGCTCAGTTGGTAGCGCTCTCGCTTCCGAGTCAGATGGTTATGGGTTCGAGCCCCGTATCGGGACATTGAGCTTGCAGTTTAGACTGGTGATCCAGTGCAGGGCTGGCGATATGCACTCCATTACTGAAGGTCTCATCTACCTGTTCAGGTGGATGTTAAAGATCCCATGGCACTTCTTGTGAAGAGAAAAACAGAATTGGTCATTCAGTCCATGACTGTTTGCGGAACACTATTGTGAGCAACTGGCTGCCGTATTTTCGTCCACAAAATATTACAGTCAATTCACTTTACAGTAAATCCTGTGAAGTGCTTTGAGAGTCTCAATGATGTGATAAGGCGCTATAATCAAATGCAAAGATTATTATGGAAAATCTAATTCCCATTTTATATTCACTGGCGAGCGGAGGCAAGCTTGTGCAATCGCAGAGGTCACCGGAGAGTTCTTTCAGCGAGCGGGCACAGGCACAAAGGGCCGAAGGTCTCCTCTTGTGCTGTATGTTTCTGTGAGATCCTGAGTGACTGGCACATTCAGCGCTGCAGAAATTCTGTTGTTAAACTTCATAAAGAATTTCTAAAATCTCTGGAATTTTGAGTTCAGTGCAGCCCGTTGAATAGCCAAGGATTATTTTTTGCCCATTGTCTGTTTTAGTTTGTTGGGAGCTTTGTCGCGAGCTAAAAGCATGGATGAGGACTTTGCTCCAAGTTCGCCCATTGGCCCTGAAGTGGGGTTTAGAATGTGGTAATAAGAAATTAGGAATTATTGAATTTTAACCCGTTCAACACAATTTTCAGTGTATTTTGGTGTGAGCGTCAGCCTGGCTCAGTTGGTGGCACGATCACCTCTAGATCAGAAGGTTGTGGATTCAATCCCCACCTGAGCCTTTGAATAATTGCAGTACTGGGTAAGGGGTGGCGGGGGGGTGCGGGAGGGGGGTGCCACATTGTCAGAGATGCTTTGGATAAACTGAGATCCCGCCTGCCTGATCAGGTGGATGTTAAAGATCCCATGGCACTATTCGAACAGAGAAGGGAGCTTCTCCCGGTATCTGGCGAACAGTCCTCCAGATAAAATTGGTCATTTGCTTGAAGGCTGGTCGTGGGATATTGGTGTATGCAATTAGTTGTCTACATATAGTCACTGTAACCATCATTAAATTCACTTCCATTGGCTAAGTACCAGTTTGTAGACCTCCTCTTCTTTATAGTAAAACCTGGGATGAGCTTTGAGAAGTTTTGACAATGTGATAAGTACCAAATCCAATTTAAGGACTATTTATTTATTTTGGAAATGTTTATAAAGAAATCTGTTAAGAAGCACCACATATTAGACTCCAAGGTAGTTTGGTTCATTCTATAGTGCACATGCAGCTATGGTTGGCCCGCTCTATTTTTTGAGAACAGTGAGTGACATCCAGGCCCATGGTGAGGAAGTAATGCACCCACTAAATTACAGACAGTCACCGTGTAATTGCCTAGCAGTGCGACTGGCTTCTGTCAGCGAGAGATACAGTATCGCTTTGGGTGGAAGCGGTAATTGGGTCTTCCCCCAATGAATGCTTTTTACAGCATTACTGTATTTGCAAGACTCATTCAGGGAAGCTGACATGGGTATAGATTGTAATAATCCTTGCATTTGATGTAGCGCTTTATCACATCATTAAGACGCCTCAAAGCGCTTCACAGAATATACTGTAAAGTGAATTGACTGTATAATTTGTGGGCAAAACATCATATCCTTACATAACAGATGTAAGGATTAAGGATTATCATAAGCAATCTCTCTTTCAAGAAATACTGCAGATTAGACCAAGATCAGAATGTTTGTCTGGCGACAGGGTAATGTTGAACAGTTGACTGACTGATGTCTTGTTTTGATGTCTGATTGCAGGTAATATATCCATGGTCACAGCAGCACTTTCCAACATCAGCTCACAAACCAAGATCCTACCCAAAACCTTAGGCCCAGCAAACGTGAATGTTGCACCCCAAATGGTGAGTACGGTACCATTTATTCACCTCTCTACCAGACTCGATGGTCCATCAGCTCCCGCTAAACCCAGTACAGCAGATCCCCTCATCCAGGAGTCTCGCAACTAGCCGGTCGCCACTCGGTGGTGCTGCTGTGCATGATTGAGAAGCCAAGAGGAAGAAGTGATATAAAATTATAAACTTTAATGTTTAAATTACGGAAAAAATTGCTTCTGCCTTTTGTTTTTATCTTCAGAAGAGGAAGCTCCTCATTTGGCCTCTGGGTGGCACGGGGCGCCACCGAGTGGCAACGGACTGATTGGAGACCCTGCCCTCATCCCAGTTCATGCCCCCCCCCCTCCCCCACCCTCAGCCTCATCTCCCATCCTGTTCCGGCTCCCACTCCATCCATGTGAAGGGCTTTGAGCTGTTTGCCTATGAGAAAGGCACTTTATAAATTTAACTCTAATCCAAGGATCAAAACAAAAGGTCAGTGCTGTGATGGCAGGGCGGAGGGCTGTAAGGTGGGCCTTCTGGTAGGGTGAGACCAGATGGGCCAAAGGGCTTTCTTACTCCAAACCAATCTTGCAATCTTAAGACATCTAGAACTCTCTCCCCCAAAAGGCTGTGGCTGTTGAATACATTCACATTGTCAAGACTGAGCTGGCTCGATCTTTGTTAGGTAGGGTTTGAGGGATATGGGGTAATCAGAGCCGAGGTACAGATCAACCGTAATCTAATAGAACGGAGAAACAGGCTCGAGGGGCTGAATGGCCTGCTCCTGCTCTCATCTTCCTGCCTCCCGTCTCTTCTTTCTTTCTGAAAGCAATGAAATAAATACCTGTGATCTTCAGAAGGGGAAGCTCCCCATTCGGCCTCTTGGTGGCAGCAGGGAGTCCCCCGCAGGCACTCGCATGTAGACCACGCTGCAGCCACTGCTGCTTTTTGTCTCAGAAACAACCAGACATTTCGGTCTCTTTCTCTGAGTTCGCTTTTACAGCAGACCATCGTCTACATTTAGTAAGTATCGGAGCTTGAACAGAATCTGTTCCTCAGCCCGTTCTGTATTTACCCGCGTTGCATTAGCCGGTATGTGTATTATGATATACGTGTTACCGTTGTGTGATTATACTTGTGTTTCCCCCCCCCCCCCAAGTTTACGTTCAAAAATTGGTATCCAGGCAGGATTGAGGGGCGACGAGGGCCAATGTGGCAGTGACTTGACAGGCAATGCTATTTGAAAAGCAATGTGCGCTCTGGGCCAGACATGTGGCAGTTCTCTGTGCTGAAGTGTGCAACCACGACAGAAAGCTGTTCTGGGAGGTACTAACCAAATCTCAGATCTGCTTCCTTCCATGAGTGGGGCTCTGTGTTCCACTCCCCCGCACTACCTTCCTCCAGTTCCTCAATCTCCCGTCATGTCTGAGGCCTAGCAGTCCCTGGGCTCCAGGGTAGATTTCTATCTAAATGGGTACCAGGCTCATGCTGTCACTTAGGGCTGAAACCACAAGTCCAGTGGAAACCCCTCTGTCCCCTGTTGTGCTAACATTGGAGATGTGAGCACCACTTTCTTGCATAAACTACAACCTTCTGCTTTGATGGGCGTTGCTATAACCCATTTGCTATATAAATGCAATTTGTTGTTGTTATTAACTGTTTAGGAAAAAGGGTATGTCTCTTCTCTGAAGACAAACGCAATGTGACCTGGGGTTGTCACCTCAGTAACTTAACTGATGGTGAAGGTGTCACTAGTAATATCTTCTAAGATAAGCAACAAGATCAAACGTTGTAAGCATCTAATAGATAGACAGACGGGTCAGGCTGGCTGAGTGGGGCAGCCAGGGCTGTACCTTCAATTCCTTAAATGTTCTTGCATTATCATCTGAAATTGTCAGAACATACATTGCTTTAACAGAGTTTAAAAGGGATTTGGTTAATGTCAATGATAATTAAAGGATGCAGAAAAAGAGTTTGAGCGCAAAGAGCAATGGCGATCCCTGGAGCAGCTATCAATAAACACAATAATTCACTGAATTCTTCAGTATTTTATATATCCCATTAACAACAACAATTTACATTTATACAACACCTTTCACCTCGGTATGACATCTCAAAGTGGTGCCTGGGCACCTGAGCTAGTGGGGGGTTAGTGGAAAATCTCGGGGGGGGGGGGTGGGTGGATGGTGAAAGCACAGTTCAAAAGGTGGGTTTTAGAGGTGAGGCGGAGGAATTTCAGGGTGGACTTCACGGTCAGTAAGCAATCAGGTTGATCTGGGGTGTTTTGGGGTCTGTGTTGACTCCGCCCTGTGTTCCCGTCGCAGGGAATCACAGTGGAGCTCGGGCAACCAGAGTGGTCGCTGGCCACTGGAGGTAGCCTTGGGACGTCTTCCCGACGTGAAAGGTGCTCTATAAATGCAATCTTGTTGTTGTTGTTGTAGGATATCTTTGCCAATGAACTGAGTATCCAGATTAAGTCACATTGCTTTTTGGTGGATCGCTTTGTCCACATCAGAGGTAGAGTGAGGCTGGAGAAAGTCACACAAGTAAGGACTGATAAAGACATCTGTGTAAATACACAGTCACTACACTACTGTTAACAACAACAACAAAACCAGCCCTGCGCCTAATACTTTCCGGAATTAGGTTAGCACGATGCATCCCCCAGAGAGGGAGTGCGAATTCCATTCCAATAAATATCTCTGGAATTTCCATGTGTAGGTGGGAAGCATGGAACTCTGTTTTGGTTTAAATACTCTAAAGCATGGTGTCAGACATAGGCTGAATCCTCCCCCAAAAAAGTCTTGATTGAGATAGAGAGCCAGTGGAGCCTGGCGAGAGAGGAGAGAGGTGATGGGCAAGTGAAGCTTAGTGTGGAGGAAAGATGCGAGAGGATGAGGTTTGGATAAGCTGGAGCATGTGGGAGGAGGAGGGCATTGAAGTAGTCCAGTGTGAAAGTGGCTATTTATTGCATTCTGATAAATATTTGTTTCCTTCCAATGAGAGAGGTTGTGCAGTCACTTGTGATGGACTCTTGAGAAATCTCACAGCACTGCTTCAAAGAAAAGCAGATTCCTCCCCCGCAACCACTGCTGCCAGTGCACCAAAAGAAGTGATTAATGGTAGCATTTGCCCATTGCTGACAGTTAATTATATTTCAGACAACATCGCCGTGTGAGGCTCTGAGACCTTCGAAATATGATCAAACGTTGCATATTTGCAAAGATTCAAGTTGAAGTGGAATCAGCTTTCAAGAAGGAACTCTGTAATAATGAGAAAAATCCTTACATATAAGACAGTTCCTTATCATGTCCTAGAGACGTCTCAAAGTATTTCACGGGAATTGGGTTCAGGACACCAGGAGAAACTCCTTTCTCATTTTGAATAGTGCCATGGGGTCTTTAACATCCACCTGAACAGGAGGATGGGACCTTTTTTTCATGTCTTATTCCAAGGACGGCACCTCTGACAATCCAGCACTCCTCCATCACTGATTGGAGTGTCAGTTTAGACTATGTGATCAGATAGCTATAGCCTGTTAACTTTAGATAGATAGCTAAAGAGGAATGAATCATCTGCTGGGGTATGAGGGGGGGAAAAGGTACATAAGTGGGATACACCATACATATGATTCTATGAATCTTGCTTTTTTTTCTTGATGATTCAGTATTAAGCAGCATAAATTGTGATCAACTTTGGAGGCTTGGCTGTAGGTCTTTGGGTGGGGAGGGGTGGGGGAGAGAGGAGAGAGCATTCTTGCTGGCTTTGTCATTTGATGAGGGAGTTGATTGACAGAATGACAAACACGTGAGCGAATCTGACAGCAGCCTTCAGCCCACGCATTCAATCTCAAGCTCCCTCTTGCTAGTTGCGCTGGTTTAAAGTTAGACATGCTTCCCTGCAGCCTAATCGGAGTTCAGTGAACCGCACACAATCCTGTGTTTGTGATACCTGTGCTCCTGGAAGTTAAAGGGGGGTGGGGGAGTGCGAGTGAGATTGGAGCCTCGAATCCCAAATATCGGGGCCCATTAATCACAAAAGTGGAAAGGTAACTGAACACGAAGGGAGGGGGATGCCTACTTTCTCTCTTTTTTATAACTATATATAATATATTTATACTATACTACTTGTACCTGCTTACAACCAAAGGATCCAATGTGGAATGTAGATTTCAGTGATACCACTCACAAACCATTTAACATGCCTTAAGCACTGTGTGTACACCTAAAGCAAAACGATGGTTGATACTGACTCCATTATTTTTGTATGCTCGTTTTTAGAGCTGGCGTTTTCAGTGATACCACTCACAAACCATTTTACATGCCATAAGCCCTGTGTGCACACCTTAAGCAAAACTGCCATGCATGTGTGATGAGCTTGTTTAGGTCATAGCTCATCAACGATAGAAAATATAGCCATGACGCTCCCTGATGCAAGACCTTTCCGATGAAGTATAAATCATGTCAATCGGTTGTTGAGTTATTGGCTGACACATACACAAGACATTACATCTTCATTATAAAATATATATATAATATCATATTATATATGTAAAACCAGGATTGGGAATGAATGTTTTTCTTTCCTGCTTAAATGGTTATAAAACTCCTAGATGTTTGAGTTTAGATGTTAAGCTAGTTTAGGCCATTATGAATGCTGGTTGATTGTGCAATAGCATTTTGCTGTCACTAGGTGCTGATGTACCTCGCACTGGCCAGGCTGCAGCACAGGGGCACATGGTATCAGGGCCTCAGGACATTTTTATTTGCAGATCGAGACTCTTGCTCTTTTTGTTTTGCCTTGTTTTTTAGCCTCTTCTTCCTCTTGGGGAATTGCATGGAAACGGGCCATTCGGCGCAACTAGTCTGCCGTTCACAAAATATACCTTAAAGTGAATTGCCTGTATATTTTGTAGGCGAAATGCGGCAGACAATTTTGCACAGCAGCGTCCCCACAAATAGTCGCGGATTGAGTGACCACATACCTATTATTTTATATATGACAAACATGCACCAGACTTTCCCTACATTTTCTTTTAAGATAATCTTAAAGCTGTTTATTGAAGTCTGTTATTGGCTGGGCCAATAGAAAAGTGCGGCCAGCAATCTGTTCCAAACTACCTCCTCCAATACACACAATTTCCTGCAAAATTTAGCAAATTTCCTGCAATTTTGGACAAACATTTCGACAATTTTCTATTGGACCTGGTTGTTGGTGTTCATTGAAGTCTGTCAGTGGTTGTTACAGTTGCTGTTGTAGAGAAATAGTTTTATTGGCTTTGAATTACTTACCTGCAATTTTCTTGTGCTCTCTCCTCCTTTGACTCCCTCCTCTCCCCCCTACCACCCCCCTCTACCACCGTTCCTGTCCTTGACAGATCATAAGCACACCCCAACGCCTGAGCAACGCAGGGAGTGTTCTGATCGGAAGTCCATACACCCCAACGACAGCCATGGTCACGCAGAGTCACATCACCGAGCCCTCGGGCTGGGTTCCAGGGTGAGATCTCACTTTCTTGCCAATGTGCTTTTTAAACTGTTTTTTGCAGAAAATATTCAGTCAAAGCGGGTTGCAGTCCAGCAATGATTTTAAACAGAACCACTCTGGGTTAGAAGGTTCAAGCCCCCAAGTCGGTATTTGAGATCACAGTGTGTTGTTGGGGGAGTGCTGCATTGTCGGAGGTGCCATCCTTCTGGTAAACTGAGGTCCGTTTATGTCTGTTCAGGTGGATGGCAAAGACCCGTTCCACTATTCAAAAAGGGAAGGGAGTTTCACCCAGAGTCCTGGTCAAAAATCCCCCAGATAGAATTGGTGATTTATTTTATGGCTGTTTTTGGGGGTCTGCCGTGCATAAATTAGCTGCCGTGTTTTCCGGCCACTAACACTTGACGGTAATTATTATAAAGCACTTTCAGACGGCTCATTCTGCTGGGCACTATATATCTCTTCTGCTTGCCAATGAGGAGGTGAAAGCCTTTAATATACAGTCCCCAAAGTTGGGTTTCGCTTAGTGTCCTGGCCACCAATCCCCTAAATAAAACTGGTTGTTCACTTCATGGCTGTTTGTGGGACTTCACTGTATGCAGAGCAGCTGCTGCAGACACCTACAAAATACTGTCACTCCACTTTATAGCACATCCTGTGAAGCGCTTTAAGACCTCCTCCCGATCTGAAATGCGCGGTATCAAAGGCGAGGATAATTGTTTATAATTTAAACGTTGGCCGTCAGTAATGACACTGGATTCCCTGGGGAAGAGGATGTTAAAATCATGGGAGATCAACTTAGCAGAGCAAGCATTCGGGTCTGGATATCCTGGACAGGCCTGGTCCCTGTCAGCTTCTCCCGGGTCACCAGCTGAGCACAGTTGCCTCTGATGTTCAGTCGCATGGCATGCTGGCTGCAGTTCCGTTTCTTTCTGGTCCAAACTGCACATCTATTGCTGTTTTGGCAGTGATCGAGCTTCCCAATTGACCATCAAGGACATCTGTAACAACATTAATAAAAAATCCTGAAAGATCTATTTTCCTGGAAGCTTATGCTTTGAGACTCATTGCTCTGCGGAAATTGGCTGCCATCTCTCCTACAAAATTATTTACAGCAGTCACTATGCTTTACAGCATTATTGTATGAAGCGCTTTGAGATGTCCTGCTACTTTGAAAGGCACTGGAGCATCTAATAATAATTCTTGCATTTGATATAGCACATTATCACATCATTGAGATGTCTCAAAGCGCTTCTCAGAATATATTGTAAGAGTAGATTGACTGTGTATTTTGTGGGCGAAACACCACAGCTAATTGTGCACAGCAGTGTCCAACAACAAACTTGTGGATTTTGAGTGACCAAATTTATTTATTTCTTGGGAAGGGATTTAATTATTATTATTTTTCACGACACCAAACTTGAGTTATAAGCAGGCCTAGTACAAGCAAGGTGCACACTGCAATTTATACATCACTTAAATAATAATAATGTAATAATCCTTGCGTTTGATACAGTGCCTGTAAAGTTGAAATGTCTCAAAGCAATTCACAGTAAGTACTTTCAGGTGGAATGACTGTACTTGTAGCCTCCAGCACAGCAAGGCCACACAAAAAACCAGATTGTTGGCCAGAACGCCGGAAGAAACTGCTTATAGTTACTGCAATTGGTGTTGAGTCACCTGTTGTCTTCAGCAGCTATCATCGATGGATCTTGTAGCCTCAGTTTGAACAGGCAGACAGGACCTCTTTATAACAGCATCTCCGATAATGCAACGTTCCTCCAGGATTGCACTGGAATGTCAGCCTAGACTGTAATCTCCATTTCTGTTGTGGAGCTTGAACCGGAACCTGAACTCTTGAGATGCTATCCTGCATGAAGGACACTATATAAATGAAGGTTGCCATTGAACCTTCTGCCCAGGGAGCTATTAAGTGAGATAAGATAAAGTATAATTACTATATAATTGCAGCTATATATCCACTGGGCACATCCTCAACATGTGTGCATCCATCTAGTTCCTGTGAAGCTACTAACTTTTTGACCTTCACTCTGTTAGTGACCCAACCATATGACACGGCTTATGTATTGTACGCCTTTCAATCTGGAGACGATCGGATTCGGCAAGCTCCCAATTCCTGCTTTGAGCCTTTTGGGTTGTTCCCTTTTGAGAATTCACAGCGTTATGTAACGAGAGCCTTAGGGGGTTTATAGCTACTGCAATTGGTGTTGAGTCACCTGTTGTCTTGAGCAGCAGAGCCTGATGTTTGGAGGGAACCTGGCTATTATTTGGCATGTTTAGTGGCTGTAGTTCATGCTTATTTTATCAGAGGTGCTGTCGTGGCTTTGTACATTTTGTTTCCTGTAACTTATTTTCCTCCACCTCCTCTCCCCTCGGTTTTGCTTGAACATAAATGTCCAGACCTGGTGCAGCTGGAGTTTTGCTCTGTGTCAGTCTCCCACAGTAGTTGACCCGGGTTCAGGGAATGGAAAATTGTTCCATTTCCCGGCGCTGACGTCTCTCGCTCGCTCCGACCTCAGAATTCTCACACTCTCCCTGAAAAAACACAGACAAACAAACAGGCCAGTGCAAGCCAAGCACTCTTGTCATTTGTTCAATATACTTGATCAGAGAGTGTCCAATTTCCAGTCTATTGAGGGTACTGTGTTCAGATCCGGTCACCAGAACAGGGACCGACAACACACAGGAAGCCAATGAGGCTGATCCTCAGTATGAGAGGAATGAACGATGAAGAACCACAAGATAAGCTGGGGCTCTTCAGCCCCAAAACAAACCTCTCGAGTCTATAGATGTTAACAGGTAGCAGGTCAAGAGGCCACAGGTACAGGATTGTGTAGGACAGGCACCAGGTTGCCGCTAATGTCACTTCCCACGCTCCTATGCGTTAAGTTTAGCTCACCGGGTTTAGTACATGACTACTCCTTTAACTACCGTTAATGAGCCAGAAGTCATGCCTTGCATATTGCTGCCTGCCTGTTTCCTGGGAGCCAGATAAACTCTGATTTATCTCCCCTTTAAGAGGATGTATTTGTGGAGATGTTAACATGTATGATGTTTATAGCCTCCCACTACTGCATTCAGTTGGTTGGTATTCATTGTTATGCTCAATGCTGAGACATGTTGACACCAATATGTCAATATGCTCCAAGATCTCAATGGACTGAGTAGAAGATAAACCAGACATGACCCTTCTCTTCAACCCCCCCATCCCCGGCCACCCGCCCACATAAAATGGCCTAGTGGGTGAAGGCACTACCCAACGAAGTGCTGAGCCATGCACCACAAGTCACTGATTCAAATCCTGCTCTGTTGTAAGTTAGTTGGTCTTAGCCAGGGCAGCAGTAGCAGGGGCTACATTTGACCTCATCACACTTTGTGATGAATATTCTCGGGAACTTTTTAAAAAACGTTATTTTAGCCATTGAGTATCCTCTTTGTTCAACTTTGTGTGGGGAGTAGCTTAGCTTTTATGTAATCTGCCACTTTCCTTTTAAGCTTGCAACTGGCTTTTCTTTTCCCTTGCAGGAGCAGAAAACGCACCCACGAGTTTATTGAATCTGATTTTTCAGATAAGTAAGTATGCCAAGAGTATTTTAAATAATGGTCGCCTGCTCTCACTGTCCTCTCCCGGCTCTGGGCAGAGAATTGCTTATATAAAAGGCAGCAGCTCTCCCACGCCTCATGGCTTGTCCAGTCTAATTTATTTCTGTGCCTAAAAATAGTTGCTCCTTCGGAGGTCTGTAACCTTGTTACGTATCAGCATGAGACGGAATGTCATGGAGGGAACCTCTGGAGAATAGGACAGGACATCTGTTGGATTTTTTCATTTATGTTTCTCATAGGATGGAGAGTGAAGCAGCGGCTAGCAAGTATTTCTGGGGAAATGATGAGGTGCCTGTATTGTTTGATCTGTAAATTTGCCCTGGGTTCATTTTCAGATTTTATTATAATAATCCTTCCACTTGATATGGATTTGCTGTAAAGTGTTCTCCCTGAGTATTTTGTAAGCAAACATGGCAGCTAGTTTTGTGCACAGCAACATCCCACATTCATGCAGTGAATGAGCAATTTTATCTGTGGGATTGTGACCAGTACACCGAGAGAAACTCCATTCTCATTTTAAATAGCAGTGCAGTATTTGTAACATAATAATATGACATCCACTGGCTCGCCATCCCTTAGAGGATAGAGTTCAAAATCCTCGTCCTTGCCTTCAAAGCTCTCCACGGCCTTGCTCCTTCCTACCTTTGTGAGTTGCTAACCCCATATCGTTCTGTCCGCTCAGCAGGCTCAGGCCTGCTTCATGTACCCTGCCTGGCCACCCCGCGATCCTTCAGCCTCTCTGCATCTACCCTTTGGAACTCCATTCCACAATCCCTTCGCCTCCACTCCTTCCCTTGCCTCCTTTAAGGCCCATTTCAAGACCACACCTTCGGCCATCCTCCTACCCCTATCCTCCCTGCTCTCCACCCTTCTTGATCGTAACCCCCGGCTCAGGTCCAAATCCCTGACAGTCCAGTGCCTTGGGCTGTTAAAGGTACTATACAAATGTAATTTGTTGTTGTTGAAGAGGCAAATGGAGCCTCAGTTTTTAACATCTCATCTGAAGGACGGCATCTTCAAAGATACAGTGTTCCCCCCAGCACTGCATTGCAGTGTCAGCCTAGACTGTATGAGTTTGGACATGATGAGTTTGCTTTCGGTTGAACTACAGTCGCAGATTTAGCATCTATTTTATTAGCAAAAGAGGCAATTTGCTTCCATGCTTATTGCTGCTCTGCGGTGAGAGCGGACTTTATTATCAGACAACAGTAAATCAATCATTTATTCTGTTCCAACTCATCTGCGATTTAATTAGGTAATCACTTTGTAATGAAACGATTAACTCTCATCTGCAAATGAAGAAGTTCGTTTATAAACGCTTACTTTTCAAAGCAGATTTCATCCTGTGTAGTACATTATCTAAATCATGAAAATGTGTTGATTTTAATGATAATAATCCTTATATTTGGTGTATCACTTTTCGCATCAGGAGGACATCCCAAAGAGCTTTACAGGATACTATGAAATGCAGTGAATTTTGCTCACAGCAATAAATAACCATGAAAACAAACTTCCAATTTTATCAAGTGGATTGTTATCTGGTACACTGGGAGAAATGTCCTTCTCTTTTTGAACAGACAGACGGGGATCTCAGTTTAATGTCTCATCTGAAGGACGGCATTTCAGACAATGCCGCACATCTTTGCATTGGCGCATCAGCTTAGATTATGGGAGTTCAAAGTAGGGCTTGAAACTACAACCTTCTGACTCGGAGTTGAGAATGCTACCACTGAAACAGAGGTCAGGCAGGGTGAAGAACAAACTTCCCTCCAAAGCCCTAAATTCCATTTCCTGTGATGCAATTATTAAATCTTTATCTGTGATCCTTCCTGGGAGTGTGAACTTTGACTGGTACTGGAATATCGCTGAACAGTCACCCCACAACATCTCTGCAGAGGCACCTCTCTCTCAGCTCCATGGAAATGCAGCAACAACAAATTGTATTTATATTGCGCCGTTCACGTCGGGATGACGTCATAAGCTGCTGATACCTCACAGCTGGGGGGTTTTGCTACTCTTTCTGTACCACCACCCCGCAGCTGAATTGCTGAGAGGGGAAGGTGGGCAGGTTCTCTCCCATTCGCAGCTCAAGGCAGGTGGAGGGAGACATTGCATTTGGGTCTAGATTTGCACTATTTGTCGCGTTTCAGTTTGTCCAGCATTTGGCCAATTTGGTGGAATTCAGCTTTCACTTTGAAGCCATTTTTCACTAGTTCTTTATAAGGAAACTTACAGAAATCTGGTTTCAAAATTGAGATTCTGGATGCTGTGAAATGCAACATAAATAGAGTAAATCTGGACCCAGGTGGGATTTCTACACCCAGGGGACTGGATCTGAAATCAGCTTCAGTGTGAGCTCTATTGTTATAACAACACTAATAATATTCCTTGCATTTGCTATAGCATCTCATGTCGTTGAGACGTCTCAAAGCACTTCACAGGATATACTGTAAAGTGAATTGACTGTGTATTTTGTGGGCGAAACATGCCAGCCAATTGCGTATAGCAGTGTCCTACAAACAACTCTTATTTGATTGTATTTAATACACTGCACCTGATGTAACCAGAGATTAAATCGGGATGAGGAGAGAATCGATTTGATCAATTTTCAAGCTCTCGCTCTTGTCTCAGTCTCTCTCTCTCTCTCTCTCTTTTCCTTCCGTCCCCTTCACAAATCTGGTCTGATTTCCTTCCTTCTCTCTCACGTTTTGACCTGTCCACGTGACTGCTCTGAGGCATGGCAACTAACAAGCCTGTAATCTGGCAACTCTGTGAAAACATCGGTTGGAAGATAAAAATCCCTTTCATTCCCCTTTGTGGTGTGTTCCAGCCACGCCACTCTGTGACGCATGAGGTGGGGGAAGGGGGGGGGGGTGGGGGATTAAATTTTTCTCATCTTTTTCCATCTCTTTGCTCCCCCCCCCCCCCCCAGGATTTGCACACCACTGGTAAAGGCTTCGGCTGATTCAGCAGACCCTGGGAGGGGGGAGGTAGGGGGTGGGGGGAGAATGTTGGCCAATGCGGTTTCAGATCAGATCCCCTCCCCCCACTTTTTCCATTTCTTTTCTCCTCCCAGTGTTCTTGCACGTTTTTATTCAGCCTTTGAAAAATATCTCAAAAGCATTTCTGAAATGGACTGTTTCCTTTTGGATTTCCCCCCGCCCCCTCTTCCTCTCTCTCTCTCTCTCTCTCTCTCTTCCCCCCTCTCCCTCGCTCTCTCTCTTCCCCCCCTCTTTCTCCTCCCCCCTTCTCCCCCTTCTCTCACTCCCCCTCCTCACTTTCTTTCTGTCTTACTCCTTTTCTCTCTCTTTCTCCCCCTCTTCTCTCTTCCCCCCTCTTCGCCCTCCCCCTCTTTCTTTCTCCCTATGTCTCCCCCCTTTTCTCTCTCTTCCCCCTCTTGCCCCCTCTCTCTCGCTTGCACTCTCTGAGAATTAGCAGCAGTCATTGCAGTTCGCCATTTTATTGCTTTAATTCATCAGTGTGGATTTTTGAAGCCGTTATAGGCCAGATATCCGGAACTAATCCCTTTTGACAGCTGGATGGTTTGCCTTGCTACCTAGCAACTCCTGCACCATCCAACTCATTGTGCAGCGATTTGCCTCTCGGAGAGTTGATTGCAGAAGTAAATCTTTTCTTCCATAGAACAAATCTCTCTGCCTTAAAGGAGCCAGCACCCAGTGTGCTAATGCTGGGGTCTCATTACCTCCTGCACCCCCCACCCCCCTCCCCACCAGCTATTTTAACACAGTATTTTGTAGAAATCAGTTCTGTAGAAATGTGGTGCATTGAAGAATTCTGTGCACATGATTTACATCTGCTTCATTGATTGCCTTAGCCCTTAAGATGCTGGCAGGCTTTACATCAGTGCCTGTCTCTTTGGGCTGCCTAGTTCTGTGTGTTTACAACAGGAACAAGATAGCATTTGTATAGCGCCTTCCACGTTGGGAGGATGTCCCAAGGCACTGGACAGTGTACAGCATTTCAGACCTGAGCTGGGGTCGGGGGTAGGGGAGGGGAAGCGGAATGGCCGATGGCATGGTCGAAGAGGAGGGTCTTGAGGTTGGACTTGTGGGAGGCTACGTAGGGAGCGAGGCAGAGTGATTGGGATGGAATTCCAGAGGTTGGGGTTAGACTGGCTGAAGGCTCTCCCGCCAATGGTGGGGCGGGTGGGTTGGGGGACGTGGAGCAGGCCGGAGCCGGCTGAGCGAAGGGAGCAGGCAGGTTGGTAGGGAGTTAGAAAGTCGCAGAGGTAGGGTGGGGCGAGGCCATGGAGGGCTTTGTAGGTGAGGACCAGGATCTTGAATTGGATCCCCTGAAGGATATGGAGCCAGTAAATTCGGGCGAGAATGGGGGAGATGGGTTTGCGGAGTTTGGTGCAGGAGAGGACACGGGCTGCAGAGTTCTGGATTATCTGCAGCCTGTGGAGGGAGGAGTTGGGAAGGCCAACAAGCAGGATGTTTGCATTGAGCCTGGAGGTGATGAAGACATGAACAAGAGTTTCAGCGATCTGAGGGGTGAGGTAGTGATGGAGTCGGGCGATGTTACGGAGGTGCAGGAAGGCAGAACGGGTCATGGCTTGGATGTGGGGAAGAAAAGAACAATTGAGGGTAGAACAAGACACCCAGGTTTCTAACTGGCTTGGTAAGTTGTAGCAACCATGCAATCATGCTACAACTTGATGCTGCCAGAGCCTGAGGTGCGAGCCCATCAGGAGGACCTCAGTCTTGTTCACATTCAATTGTAGGAAATTTGCCCTCATCTACGACTTGATGTCCATTTAAGATATGCAGTGCAAGGCTAACCCTAGCACACATGTGCACACACGCATAAACATGTTTACACACATGCAGCTGGTGCCACCCTCATCCTCCACCCACCCCCCCCCACACACACACACACCACGTGCACATCAGGATGTTAATCCAATCTATTTGTGGTGGGTGTTCTCAAAAACTTGATCATTATCGCGTTTTGCCCACAAAATATACAGTCAGTCCAATTTACAGTATGTTGTGTGAAGCGCTTTGAGACATTTCATTGCTGTAGCGCGATAAGGCGCTATATCAATAGCAAGGATTATTATTATTATCTCTTAATGTGGCTTCTCTCCGGCTTTTGGTTGGTTACTTCCAGCAGCCGCCATTGTCTCTCGAAGGCGGGAGCAATGCTTATCAGTTTGTAGGAAAGAAATTGGACTGAGATATCAGACTGAGACTGCTGATATCAGACGAGCCTGTTTTCTTCAGCCTCCTGTTAATTACCTAAAGCAAAAGCCTGGGGCTTTAAGATCAGATGAGAATCGGTCAGTGTCCTGAAATAGCATGTCCCTGTGTGACTTGGGTTTTCCCAGTGCATAATCTGTCAGCTGTCAAAGCAAATAGGCAATCATTTCACGAGTTGATTTCTCCAAATGCTGAGTGATGTGATTCAATTGCAATCTTCACCAGTGCTGATTCTCGCTGCTCGCGGTTTTAAACATCCTCATCTTGTGCACACGATCGCGTTATTCTGGCGCAGAGTGTGCCCTTCCCAAAGTCGGGATCTTGACCTCGCGGAAATGTGTGGGCACCATTAGTGTGGGGCTGTGGCATTATCCCAGCCTCCTGAGATTGACTCAGGATTGTGTCCAGTCAGCCGGCAGACCATAATAAGGCACGAGGCTCCCAGTAATAATGATCACCCTTACATTTGACGTAGCTCCTTTCACGTCGAGAGGATACGGGGTATACTGAAAAGCTGAGTGACTACCTATTTTGCAGCCAAATGCCCTGCTCATAAGATAAAGGAACATAGAAAATCCTAGATTAAAAAAAACACCATGGTCCATCCAGTTCACCTTCTACCGTCCTGGTAGTCGCATGCACATGTCATGTCCTGAACTACTCATGCAGTGTATCCCAAAATATTATTTCCTGAAAGAAATCTATCGATTTGCATTTCAAAGAATCAACCCTTTCTCCCTAGCGAGCCTGTTCCGTACCTTTACCACTCGCTCATTGAAATAGCGTTTCCGCTGATTAGTTTTGAATTTACCCCCCTTCAATCACAAGCCGTGTCCTCTGGTTCTACAGTTCTGGACAGGATGAACCATGGTCTACTTTATCTATAGGGTATTTTCTTCTGATCTTGAACATTGATCTTCCACATTTGTTGCTGTTGTATCCGCGTTCATGGTTTCTGGAGAAAAACTGGCAATGCCTGACAGTACCTATTAACAGTATTTATTAAGCAGCTATTCAGACAGTGTAAATCTCCGAAGATATTTGTTTTCAAAATCGTCATATTTACTGCACAGAACAGATGCTTTTTGTGTTCATTTCTCCTTGTGGAGGGAAGTGTGAGAGTAAAAGGTTGATACTTATAAACCACGCCGTGACATAAATGAAATAAATTACCCAATGTTTCGCCCACACTTTACAATATATTCTGTGAAGCACTCAACAATTTGATAAGGTGCTATATCAAATGCAGGGTTATTATTATTATTGTTATTATTACAGCAGTGTAGCTCTGGAGCTTGATATAAAGAGAGTTTATATTTGATGAACACAGATGTGTGCATTTCTTTGCATTACAGATGCACAGTAGAGACACAATTACTGATTGGTTGTCTCATGTACTGAATTTACTTAGCTACAGAGAATGCAACCTCTTATTCCCTCAGTTACCATAGAGGTGCCACTTAGTACAGAAGAAGCTATAAATAACATTGAGGTGATTCGTGTTTCCAGCTCAGTTGCTCATCAGTGTGAGAATCAGTGGAATAAGGTTTATTTTTGCCATCAGTGCAGACAGAGTAACCTGGACCCACTTGTATTCCTAATTCAGCCCCTCCTGATCGTGGACCTGAAACAGGAAATGTAATCCTTTTATCTCTGTCACTGGTACAGTAATACTATTGGAAGTTAATCAGTTCAAGCTGAAAACTTGATCGGCCCGCATACCAGATCTAATTGAAATGGATTTTCAGTCTGTCTTTTCTCCCAACTTTGATCATCTCAGTTCCGAGGATAATAACGTGAGCTGACAGCTCTGAAGCATGACATGCAATCAGAGACATTCAGCGGCCCCTTAACCTTGCACTTATTACTGCTCTAGTTTCAATGGTAGAGGGATGGACTCCCAGTGTAAGGAACCTGTAATTCCGATCTCCACTGGCGTTAGATTCGGGTTACCCTCACCTTGGCTTTGTGAAGTGATGGAAAACGTAGTATGTAGGTTTGCTAGAATCAATAGCAACCTTCAAGGAGGTCTCCAGCTTTGCTCTGTCTGATCCTCCAAAGCATGTTGATGGATAGATAATAATCCTTGATTTGATGTAATGCCTTATCACATCGTTGAGATGTCTCAAAGTGCTTTACAGAATATATCGTAAAATGGATCGACTGAAACGTGGCAGCCAATTGCACACAACAGTGTCCCACAAACAGTCATAGGAACGTAAGAAATGCTAGACGAAAAAAGACTAAGGCCCATCTCATTCGCCTTCCACCTTCCTGGTGGTCGCATGTACATATGTCCCACTCGTGGATTGAGTGACCCAAATTTTTTTGAGGGATCATTACCCTCAGAAAGTAATCCGCCAATCAATTACCAACCAGGTTCGTATTTACTGCTAGACAAACAGAGGAGTGTGGAGTAAGGAAACTTGCCTAAGGTTCGCCCTGCCCAAGAATAGAACCTGGGTCCACTCGCTTGCGAGGCGAGTGCTCTAACCACTGGACTACAATGTTTTGGGCAAGAATTTCATGGATGAAAATGGATTTGGTTGTCGGTCACTAAGCCCACTAAGATTTCCCACCTACTGACGTGCTCAGTTAGTTGCTGCTGTTCGTTTCTTGTATTACGTGTCTAAAATGTGCCGAATTTTCATTTCAGCAAAAGGAGCAAGAAGGGGGATAAGAATGGAAAGGGTCTGCGGCACTTTTCAATGAAAGTGTGTGAGAAAGTGCAGCGCAAAGGGACCACCTCGTACAATGAAGTGGCCGATGAGCTGGTGGCCGAGTTCAGTAATTCCAATAACCACGTGACTTCTGATTCTGTAAGTGGTACGATTTGTTTTTAGAGAATTTCTCACTGCGTAATCTAGGTGACAGGTGTTTGTGTCTGGCTGGAGATGGGAGGGCCCCAGGCTGGGACGTCCACTGTTTTCTATCTACAACTTGTTGTTCTCGTCTACAACTCGATGAGTTGTAGAGTTGCCATCGTTTTGGGTTTGAGGTTGGTTCTCTGACCTGAGAATGATCCGGGCTGCCCCTTTCAGCAGGCATACGATCAGAAAAATATCCGGCGCCGGGTTTACGATGCACTAAATGTCCTGATGGCCATGAACATAATTTCCAAGGAGAAGAAAGAAATTCGGTGGATTGGACTTCCCACCAACTCTGCTCAAGAATTTCAGAACCTCGAGGTGAGTGAGACCATCTCAAGGTATAAAATTCCAATATAAAGTGTCATCATCTGAAGGTGTGTTTGTGTTGTGTTAGTTCAGTCACTCCATGATCTGAGTCCTTGTTGGAGATAAAACCTTGATATGAGTCAGTGATGTTCCGTGGGTCGGATCTTGGCTCCAGATTAAGATATGGGCTCTTGGATTTAGAAAATGACCAGTCAATCAACATAGCAGTAGAGAATATTAATCTGGCTCTTGGATTAAGGTAGAAAATGACCAGTAACAATCAACATAGCAGTAGAGAAGATTAGTTAGTTAAATATCTTAATCTCCAGGGACCGGGTTGAATTTTATTTTCAAGCTTGTGTTGCACCTATTCCACCCCCACCACCAGATTGGATTTCCACAGAGTTGGCATTAAACTATTGAGATGTTAATTAGTTCATCAGTTGCTTCAATGATAATATTCATATGTTTCTGTTCAGTTCTATATATTGAGTTAGTGATTTGTTAGAAGAATCTTGCCATTCCTGCCTCCTGGTACCAATTGACATGGCAGCTCTCGTCTGCCAGCCTTTCACTTCTCCTAATTAACAGTTTGTTGTTGTGGGTGTGATAGAATGTGAGGTTCAATGAACAGTCCCTTAAAATAATTTGACACAGTCACACCACTTTACAGTATATCCTGTGGCACCCTTCAAGATGCCTCGACGATTTGATGAGGTGCTATATCAAATGCAAGGATTATTATTATTATTTGATATAGTGCTTTATCACATTATTTAAATGTGCATTTCAGAGGATTTACTGTAAAGTGTCATGAGTGTGCAGCTGCCATGTCATGAGTGTGGCTTTGGCTTGCAAGGTTAACAGGACTGGTCTGTCTTTCGAGATCCTGCAGGTGAGCCAGGCCGGCTGTGCTGTCATTAGCGTTGCCCTGGAATACTGCGGACCCGCCTGGTTCAGGAACTAAACCATCAAGACCATTACAGAGGGTGGGCTCGATTCTAACAGTCCGTTGCTAAACATGTCACCTTGGAACTAGTTCAACTTCAATGAGACCCTCAGTTACACTAGTAATGTGCAGTAGCTGGTGGGGGTTGGGGGTCTCTCAGTGGGGTTGGCAGTAACGTGGGGAGCTCAATGTCCCTAGTGATGGAAAGAGAATCCAGGCTTGCATTTTAGATAATAAATCTATGATTTATTAAATCCACTGTTTAAAAATAGTTTTCCTTTCCCTTGGGCTCTGCCGTTGACATATGTTATGAATGATTCAGAGAGAAATTAAAAGGCAATCATGTGTAAATCAGTTTCAGAACAGAGACCTTATTAAGCTGTTGCTGTGAAATTATCCGAATTTGCCTGATAAAATTCTTTCAACGTTTTCCCAAAACAAACTGGGGATGAGGAGGGGGGTGGAAACGGGTCCTTTGCACAGACATTCAAAAGAGTGTGATAATAATAAGATGTCCTGTCACATTTGAGCAGTGACGATCCCTTTCCTGAGCCCAGTGTCATAGATAATGCATGTGGAAGTTAAAAGCAAATGCAAGGAAGGTTTTAGTGAGTCTAATGTCACAGAGTGAATCGAGCTCCCTGGCTAAAAAATCCCTGTGCCCTGCTATTTTTAACGTCAGGAGTGAATAATTGCCCTTTTCAATATACCCCCAAATCCAAAGATCGGCCCAGCAACTTAATGAAGACGTAAGATGCTTAGCTCCTTCAGCCAGCAGCTAATGTTTGATTCATCCGCTCCCATATAATCCAGTATAATCTTCCAGCTTTGAAAAATGAGTGTTAATAAATGTTTTGTGCAGACAGACCTGCACGCTCAGACATGTTGACGTCGTGAGCTGTGAATGTTTTTCCCAATCTTTCCCTCCCTCTCCCCCCACTGCTTCAGTTTGCTTCTCTTCTGGCTGTGGAGCTAATGGCAGGCACGTTGAAATATTAATGCTGTGTTCTGCCTGAATTGCGCTGACAATTCTGCTCCCTCGGTATATCAATAAAATAAGTGCAGTTACAAAAAGAATATGGGTTAGAATAATAATGTTAATAATCCTTGCATTTGATATAGACCTTAGCACGTCTTTGAGACGTCTCAAAGCGCTTCACAGAATATATTGTAAAGTGGATTGATTGTATTTTGTGGCCGAAACTCGCAGCCAGTTGCGCACAGCAGTACCCCACAAACACTCATGGATTGAGTGACCAAATTAATCTTTGAGGGATTATTACAACCGGAAAACGATCTGCCAATCGACTAACAACCAGGTTCCTACTTAACGCTGGGTAAATAGAATCGAATCCGGATCCTCTTCCTTGTGAGGTGAGAGCACTAGCCACTACCCTACGGGACTGGTGGGAAAGGAAAGCTGACACTGACCTAATGGACTTTCAAGTTCAGTCACGTTCTTTCCAGCAGGTGTACCTTAGCATCTGCAGAGTAAGTGAAAGGGCCCCTTTCAAGCTAGTCATTCTAGAATAGCATTGATTTATAGCAGAGAGAGGCAATTCGGCCCATTGTTGCTTCTACCCTCTCTCTGAAAGGGTTTGCCTTTTTACCCTGCTCTTTTGTTTGGAAGATGGTACATCATTGATCAGTGCTCTAATGCTGACCGTCTGCTTTTTCAGGCGGAGAAACAGAGGCGAATAGAGCGAATAAAGCAAAAGCGGGCTCAGCTCGAGGAGCTAATACTACAGGTAATAATCGCACCGGCATCCGGGAAACCACTTTTCGTTAGTTTAGTAATGCAATCCTCGCCACACCCTGCCTCAGCGACCTCCTGGGACCCTACTGCCTGGCCACTGCCTCCACTCAGCAAACCCTGGCCAGCTTCTGGCCTTGTCCCCCCCCCCACCCCCACCCCCCGACCAGCCCTCTCCACCATTGGTGGGCGAATGCCAGTATCAAATGTGCCACACTAGTGTTGCACTAATTTGACCGCCAATTCAAAAAATGATATTGCTAAATTTGTAGTTTTATTCTCTCACGCAGCAATAGAATGTCAAAGCCATCCGTGTTATTGCTTCCGAGAGACATCTCAGCTCAGCTCCTGGCTTTGTTACTGTTGAGTTGCCATCGTACTAACTGAGGTTTGGCTTACCGCCTCTGCAGATTATTTTGTTCCGTTCACTTGTGCTGGGATTTCACTGTGTGCTCCCACCCACCTGACTGGCAGAGCGAGCCAAGGAGCTGCACTGACACTTTGGCTAATTCAGCTGCTCAACACTGGGCTGATTCAGCCTCACTTTTTCACTTTGTCCCATTAATAATAATGAGGACATGCCCATCAATGATAATAATAATAATAATAATCCTTACATTTTGATGTACGGCATCCTCCTGATAGGTTGACCCTGACTTAACTTGTCACTAGCACTTAAGTCATCATGCTGTCAATATACCGGCCGCATTCGTTGAAGTATTTATACATTTGCCTAACTCGCCACTCCTGATAACTCGTCACTGAGCTCTTTTCCCTTGGAGTGACCAGTTATCAGGAATTTACTGGAGATCCCTTCACGTCAAGGGGACGTCTCAAAGCGCTTCACAGGTAATATTGCAGTGTAGTGATTATATTTTGTAGATTAATCTGCTTGATTTCCCCATAGCTCCTCTCGAAATACTGATTGTAATGACAAAACCTGTGGGAATGAATGGCAATGGTTACAGGGTCTGGTCTGACCTGAGAACTGTCAAGTCATCTTATGGGGTCGATATACTGCCCTGACTCTTCTCTCCCAGTGTCTTATGCATTTCAATTGACAGTCTTCTCAGTTGACAGTCTTCTCAGTTGACAGCTTTGCACTGACCTGTTAGACTGGGTAAAATGTCTGTGCAAAATAAGATTAATTAGTCGGATGTGGTGCGTCATCGAGTACATTACATATTGTGTAACGCATGTTTTTCACTGATTTGTTGGTTTTAGAAATACGCAGCAGGTTACTTTACAGGTTTTGCACGTTCATTGAGCTTGCTGTATTCCTCTGCCCTTTTTCACCTCTCCTGTCCAGTTCTTTGGTTTATTTTCTTTCATGTTTTCCGCTACCTTTATTATTGCAGAGTATGTGTATTTTTTTTTCTCAGTGTTGTTTCTAACTTTCATTCGCTTCCTGCCTGCGTCTCGACTTCCCACGCATTGGTTTTCTGTGTTTTATCCCCCCACTGTGGTTAAACGTTCTCTCCTCTTCCCCACACCTCCCCTTCCCTTTCTCTCCACTTAAAGCAAATTGCGTTCAAAAATCTGGTGCAAAGGAACCGACAGTCAGAACAGCAAACACAGAATGCCCCAGCACCCAACTCTACTATTCAGCTGCCTTTCATCATAGTCAACACCAGCAAGCGGACGGTCATAGACTGCAGTATCTCCAGTGACAAGTACGTGTCCCACCTTGTGCTTAGGTTACATTTGCTTACATTTTAACCCTTGGATTTGTTGCCGACTCCCTTTGCAGTATACGCCTTATATAATAATCATTATGCATTTGATATCGGGCCTTATCGTGTCGCAAAGATATCTCTTATAGTGAAATCATTGAACAATAATTATTCCCCTTGACCACCAATAACAACAATTACATTTGCATTGCGCCTTTCACATTGGGGTGATGTTCCAAGGCGCTGGACAGTCAGGGATTTTGACCCGAGCTGGAGGGACTTAAATTGCAGAGTTGTGAGGAGATGACGGCTAAACAAATTGAAAGGATTGATCCTTAAAACAGCCAGCCAAATGGCCTTCTCCTGTGCTGTAAATTTCTATGCTTCCCTGGTTAGATGTTCATTAAAGAACCTGACTGATGTTTCTGTTCGACAACCAAATACTTTTGTTGGTTTGCAAAGAAAGAACTAACTTTCGTTTATCATAGCGCTTCCTCAAAGTGGTCCGCAAGGAATTGGAGCTTGTAAAATGTTAGGCCGGTCCTCCAGAGAGTTGTGATTAACAATGTACCTAGGATTAATGGCCAGCACACCAGGATAAGCCACGCCTTCCTTGTTCAGAATGTCATGGTGCCTTTTAACGTCTGCTTGAAAACGTACAGATGGGATCTTGGGAACAAATATGAAGGGCAAGATGTCCCAACAGTACAGTGCACCGACCCCGCACTGGCAACATAATAATCCTCGCATTCAATACATCCCCTGAGGAGAATGCCTCAAGCGGTTCAAAGGATATCCTGTAAAGTAGAGTCATTGTGTACCTTGTGGGTGAACTGGGTAGCCAATTTGCACATAGCAATGTCCTACTAACAGCCATGAAGTGATTGACCTGTTTTATTTGGAGGATTGGAGGAGCCAGGAAGCTGAGAGAAACTCCCTCCTCTTTTCGATTAGTGCCATGAGCTCAAGTCCCTGTTTGATTTAATCTAGTTTAATTGTGGTACGGGTTGCAGGTGCCCCAACACATCTATTTACTGTTTTATAATCGGTATCAGAAATCGTTAAAACACCAGATCAGTGCTGATCGGCCCATCTCTTACACACAAATTTTTGTGCCAGTGGCTAGTTCAGACATACCGCATTCTATTCTAGGGTTGACTGAGGCCAAGCCTCCTTCCTCCATCCCTTGCCTAGAGGATATGTAATTGCTGTTCTGTTGTGAGACCATAAAAAACAGTTTCAGTCAATCTTCCCTCATTCCTGTTTAGGTTATGGCAGCCCAACTTTACGTGAAAGTGATCTAAGTAGCAAGAAACAGCGCGTTAGAATCTGTACAGTCCTTTTTTAATCACTGCAACACTGTGTACAGCAAAGACTACCTTTTTATTAATGTGTTTCACCATCGGCAGTCGGGCCTTCACCCTCTGCCCCACCTTTGGAAATCCATCCCACAGTCCCTTTGCCTTGTCCCCTCCCTTGTCTCCTTCAAGGCCCATCTCAAGCTCCTCCTCTTCAACCGCGTCTTCAGGCATCCTACTTCCTTCTTGAAACCCACGATGGACTCCACCTCGACCACCTCATTTGACGGGGGCATTCCACATCCTAGCAACTCTTTTTGGATTCTTATGAATTCTTTTAAAAGGAGATTGTATGCAAATATTAATGGGTACGGGAGAGGAGAGAAGGGGTGAGTGGGATGAGACTTGGCGGCTCATGTAGAGAAAGACACTGATGGGATGTTTCGGTAATGTTCTAACTATTCTTTTTTTATACTGCGCAGGTTTGAATATCTCTTCAACTTTGACAACACCTTTGAGATTCATGACGACATTGAAGTCCTGAAGCGGATGGGCATGTCCTTCGGTTTGGAATCAGGCAAATGTACCCCGGAAAACCTGAAAACAGCCAACTCCTTGGTGCCCAAGGTTTTACAGCCTTACGTCGCAGGTACATAGCGGGATGGGTGAGAAATAGTGCCCCCTGCCTCTGCTCTACAGTACTGCATGCTTGCGGTGGACATTTACACTCACCTTGTTTTGAATGACAGCCATACATCTCTACTTAGGGATCTTTCAGTGAGCTGACTATGCCCCACTAATCGCTCTGCCTCCAGTCTCGGCATATTTTGGCTGCCACCCTCGACCCAAGTTGCTTTCCCCCAAAAATGCCCCCATCCCTGTGCTCTACCCAGCATCACTCCGGCTGGGTCCTCCTTTCCCTCTGTTCTCCTCACCTCCGATCCACACTTGACCGTCACACAGACTCTGCTCCAGCCTGGGAATCATCTTGCACATTCCTCTGCCTCCTGTCCCCTCCGTATTGCCCTATGAAACGTCCGCTTCCTCTTCAACAAAGCCCTCACGTCAACGACTTCCTCGACACCAAAGTCGAGGGGATCCGCTCAGCCGCCTCTGCTACACCTTCCTGCTTGGTCTTTTCTTTCCATTTAGTTATATTAGTTCCTTGCGTTTAGTGCAGCACCTATAATATCAACCATCTCAAAGTGCTTCAGAAAGTTTGTGTGACTGTACATTTTGTTGGTGAATGCAGCAGCCAAGTTGCACACAGCCATGAGATGAATGATAAGTGAAGCACTTCGAGACACCCCTCCTTCTCCTGGCGTGAGGGTGGTGGGGGGGGGGGGGCAATAAAAATGTAAATTGTTGTTGTTATTGTGGCTTATTCCCTGACCATCTTGTGCCATTACTAGTTTGATCCAGCGAGCGCTAATTGATTTTGCCTTTCCCCAGTTGTACAACCTTTGTTGAGGCGTTTGGAAAGGGTTGTCAGGTTTTAGTGGGAGGGAGGTTTTGCCACAAAAGAAACGTTCTTCTCTGCCTTTGGCTCGCTCTCTGTAACTTATCGGCCCGGAAGACATGACAGGAAGAGCGCTGGGTACAAGCTGCCCATTTGTGCCGTTTCCAAGCTTTTTATTTTAAAAAAAGGGAGGGGAGGGGGTGGCCCCTCCTTTTTTAAAAAAAATATAAAAAAATTCTCTCCTCTCTTTATACCAGGGATTCCTCCATGCTTCACGGTTGCACAGGCAGTGATTGATGCTGGAAGACAAACTGCTGTGTTGGCAGCCGCCCAGCACATTGCCTGAGCGACCAGATTCAAGACAGTGAGAGGCAATGAGGCCATTCACTAAGTGGACTGAGGGGGTAGCTTTACAGCCAGTGTTCACCTACAAATACACAGTAGCTGTGCTTTATAGTAAACCCTGTGAAGTGCCTTGAGATGTTTCCATGAATGATAACTGATAAGGCTCTGTATTATTCTTATTATAACCCAATCCTGCCCTCTGCCCACGTCCAGACACGTGCCCTTTCCAGTAGGTGATGCCTCACAAAATGAGCAGCAGCTATACTGACGGACTCTTACTCTCCCGAGCCCAGGGACATTGAGGCTTCTAGTGCTTGGTGGGATTTACTGTGAAGTCCAGTAACTGTATTTTGTAGGCCAACGGGTCAGTCAATTTGCACACAGCGACGTCCCACAATCAGCCAAGATGTGAGTGACCAGATTTTATTTGGGGGATTGTTAGCCAGGATACCGAGAGAAACTCACTTCTCTTTTCGAAAAGTGGGATCTTTTAAAATCCACCTAAGCAGGGAGATGAGACCTTGGTTTAACGTCTCAGCCGATGGACAGGGCCTTCATGATGGATTGAGTGCTGGTAAATGAAAAGCGTGGCTGATCCTGTTAAGGTTGTGTCACAACGGAGAGCAGCCCCTGCTCAGATATACAGTTTAATGGATTTCTGCAGCACCATCAGGTTTTAGCAATCACTGAACCATTCAGGGTTTTCCCACAAAACAGTCACTGCACTTTATAGTGAATCCTGTGACGTGCTTTGAGACATCCGCCTGACATAAAAGGCGCTGTATCAAACATAAAGATTGTTATTAATATTAATGTCAGAGTCTGAGATGTTAGAAGCATGAAATTCTGCTTTCTTGAGTCTCCGTTTGCCTTGGAGACAGATCTCACTGTTTGCTGCGACTGCTCTCGGCTTGACCAGATCTCATCACTGGGACTGATTTATGTATCTGAACAGTTGAAACATCTCTTCCCCCACATTCTCCCTCTCTCTCCCCCCGCCCCCCGCCCCTTACAAAAATCCACCCACTCCTTCCTCCACAGGCAACTGCTGAGCCACAGCGTCCTGATTTATCTGTCGAGGCCGACGGTGAAGATGTGTAATTATTCATCCATGGCTTTCCTCTCACAGTCGCTGTGAGCTGCTCTGTTGCTTGTGCTGCAGTCAGGCTGCCTGTGTCTTGTGACAGGCGTCACTCAGCGCTGACCCGCCTCGCCGCAACCTGCAAGAAGCAGAGGGAGCATATTTGGGGAAATTCAATACTGGGTCAAAAAGCAAATCATTGTATTCTATGTGGGTTGTTGGTGATGTGGGGGGTTGGGGGGGGGTGGGGGGGTGGCGTGACGGAAAGAGAGCTTATTTAGTTTCCAGCCACCAGCTCGTTGCCGTGGCAACAGTTAGCAACACATTCCCCATTGGCATTCCGAGTACGTTCTTTCGGATTCTGTCCTTGTCCTTCTGAATTGATTGCCGTTTATCGAGCACCGACTGGCAGCTCGGCTCCTGGATTCGCTCCTCGCCCGCAGGGTTTCCTGAACCACCCCGAGCTCCTGGAGCCAGGCTGCCTGACCGCAGCCTCCGTTGAGAAAAAGCAGTTCGGACCCAACCAGAGGACAAAGGCCTGAGAGATAGTCAGATGGCAGGCGCAGAGATCGAGGGACGTCTCAGGCGTTTAGCGACTGGTTGTTGGTTAGGCCATGAGCCATAATCCCATAGATTCTGCAACGATTAGTAAAACAGAGGGCAGTGTGGCGGGGGCCTAATAAATGGTAGAACAGGCTTGACGGGCTGAACGACCTCCTCCTGTTCCTATGCTCTCAGGTAGATGGTGTTGGAGCGGAGTTCATGGGTTGGTGAGATAAGCATTTAGTTATGGGAAGGAGTTTGCTTTAATTGGGTTCCTTTATGAAGCAATGTTGCCTTTTAGCCCCCAGCATCTTGAGCCCTTCATTTTGCCTTTCATTTTCTGTGGTTCCTGCCTATGTATTTGACTTAGGAACTACGTAAGTTTAAGAATTTGTTCTCGTTCACAAAATCGTTGTGGGGATTTCAGCTCTGTTGTGCATATTGATGTACAGGGTGTCCACAAAGACCTCTTACCACACACCCCCACCCACCTCCCCGTTACAAAACAGCAATATGAGACTGGAGGAGCTGAAACAAGCTCTCAGAGATGCATTTCACCTCGTCACTCCATCCGTGTTACTAAGGAAGATGTTGCATCAAACATGGTGACAGATCTATCTGCCATGAAAATGATGGCAATCACTCACACTGATCCTCTGGCTTCTAAATACAGTTAGACACTTGTACTGAACACAATGAAGTACTTCTAAATACAATTATCATCTACGTGTTTCAGTTGTTGGTTAGCGCAGTGTAGAAAATAGTACTTGCTGCAATCAATGCCCTTTAAACCTACAATTTGCTGAGCTGGAATTGTCTAAAATTGAGGACGTGTTTGTATTTTTCTCTTTAGAAATGGCCGAAGGATCATCTTGGCCAAACCACGAAGTGCCTACTGACTTAATGCAAACCACCACTGCCTTAACAGCGGGCTCACTCTCTCAGTCAAGGTAAGACTTAGCAGCCTCTGAATTGTCCGTGAAGTTTCAGTACAAGTCCATAGTCTTGTGGCCAGGAGGTGAAGCCGGCCAGCTAGCATATTGGGTTCTTGGTATCTCTCTTGCCTCTGCTTAACATAGGAACTGCAGGAGGCCATTCAGTTCCTCAAGCCTATTCCGACATTCTGTTAGATCTTCGTGATCTGTACCTCAACTCCAATTACCCACCTGTGCTCCATATCCCTTGATACCCTGATCTAACAAAAATCTATCCACCGCCTAGAAAACTTGAATTGATCCAGCATCCACAGCTTTTTGGGGGATGAGGTCCAGATTTCCATTACCCTTTGTGTGAAAAAGTGCTTCCTGATTTCATTCCTAAATGGCCTGGCTGTAATTTTAAGGTTATGCCTCCTTGTTCTGGATTCCCCCATCATAGTTTCTCTGTAGCTACCCTATCGAATCCCTTTATCATTTTAAACACTTCAATTAGATCACCCCTCATCCGTCTAAACTCAAGGGAATCCAATAAAAATAATCTTTGCATTTGATACAGCGCCTTATCACCTCGTCTAGAAGTCTCATTCCCCTCTCCCCCCCCACCCCACTCGCAGCATTGAGCTGCTTTTTAAACGAATCCCAGTTTCCTGGCCTTGACCACCCTTCCTGGCAATCTGTTCCAGTTGTTAAATATCCTCGGGTATAGAAAACTTCTGCGTATCTGTCCTGAAGTTGCCCTGTGCAACTAAGCCTGCGTCCTCTTGTTTTACTGTATTGGTGCGTCCTAAAGTGTTGTTCTGAGTTAAAAGTGAGCTTTGAGCTGAAGGAGCCAAGCAAAGGGAATTGGGGGGAAGAGTTCCAGTGAGCGGCGAGTGAATTAGAAAGGAATAGTGCTCGTTCCTCCTGTTAAGGGATAAATGGGATCTTTTAAAACCTAGCCTTGAATTAGCCGTCACTTGTTGAAGCAGGGTTATGGAAGCATGTTTTTACACTTGTTTGCCACTCAGCAGCATGCCTGTGCTCCCAGCAGGGAGCAACTTGTGAGTCGTACATCCATGTTGCAATTGATATTATTGGCGTTCACTTACAAAAGAAGCACTTTGAGACGTCTTCCTGGCGTGAAAAGCACTATATCAGATGCAAGGATTATTGTTATTTTGGCTGCAGTTGGTCGGTCATAAAATGGTTCCAAACATTTTTTTAAAAAGCCTTTTTTTTAAGGTGAGCTTACTAAATGTCGAATGCCTCAAACCACTTCACTTCGTTTGTGTAAAGTATAGTGACTGTAAAATTGCGGGTGAACACAGTAATGGAGTGCGCTCCTGGTGTTAGCAGTGGGCTCGTTGCTTTGTGTTGCCCTGCTTGACTCCAGCGTAGTGCTTAAGGGAATTTAATTGTACACAAGGAAAGAAAGCTTGCATTTTGTTATTGCACTATACCACAGCGACATGTTTTGTAGCACTTTGCAGGAATTACTGTCAATTAGGCAAACCTTTTGCACGCAGAAAGGTCCTACAAACAGCCATGACGTGAATGACAAATTTCCCTTGAAGAATTATGCAAGTAGTAAACCTGTGGAACAGGCTCCCTAGGGAAACGGTTGAAGCAGGAAGTGTTGATTCCTTCAAACACAGATTAGTTAGTTTTCTTTTAGGAAATAACATTATGGGATATAGTACATAGGTAGTTTCGGGACATATGCATGCGAGCGTCAGGAAGGTGGAAGACGAACTAAATGGACCTTGGTCTTTTTTCGACTAGCATTTCTTATGTTAATTACTCCCTTCTCTCTTCTAGTGTTGTCTGAGCTTCAAGGTACATCTAAAGAACAGGCAGAGGGATCCTCAGTATAACATCTTATCCAAAGGATTTGGGGAGGGAAAAATGGGAAAGAAAGCTATTTTAAAATCTGTGCAGCAGGAAAACTTCTCAGCTCACTAAATTGAGATCCATAATTGTATACAATAGAACTGGTTTGCATTTATATGGTGCCTTTCACATAGGAGAATGTATCAAAGCACTTTATGGAGATGAAGTCGGAGTCCAGGCTGGGTGGATGTGGTTGGGTGATCGGGAGGTAACTGGCAGAGGTGTTTACATGCTCTTTGACAAAAGAAACGTAATAAAGACAATAAAACCGGGCCCCACCATCAGTGGTCGGCCCTTCAACCTTTCTGCACCCACCCTCTGGAACTCCATCCCAGAATCCCTTCACCTTGCCCCCTCCCTTGCCTCCTTCAAGGCCCGTCTCAAAACGTTCCTCTTTGATCAACCCTTCGGTCATCCTCCCACCTCCCCTGCCTCGCGTTGTTTTTGCTTTTGCATTTATCGTTCCGCTTTGTAAGCCATTGCGTCTCCTTTTGTGTTGGAGCAGCGTGAACCCAGGACTATCTTTGGACGTAGAAGTTGCCTTGGCGACTGGACAGTTCCTTGCTGCAGGAAGCAGACACTCGAGCAGCATCGCTTCTCACTACGAGTCGCGAGGCGAGACGCCGTGCTCCTTCAACGAGGACGATGACGAGGACGACGAAGAGGAGGACGACTGCTCTTCCCTGGTCGAGGGAGAGTAAAGACAAGAGTGCTGGCATTCTTCTCCGGCTGCTCCGTATTGCTTTTTAATTAAGCTGTACTGTACTCTGTGCCACCACCTGCTGTTGCCGTGTTTATGACCGTCCCCTGCAGACTGAAAGCTGAGGGAGAGAGAGAGGCGTAAAAGGAACAATCGTTCTGTGTGTGAACGGGCGGCTCTCCTCCCAGTCCTGGTTCCTGCGCCTGTACAGATCCAGTTAGAAAAGAACCAGAGCTTGACATTGGCTGGCACAGTTTTAAGAGGTGCTATTGAGTGGGAGATTTTTTTTCCATTAGATTTGTTTGCCCCCTATTTTATCTTTTTTTTTAAAAAAAAAAAGCCCTTTGAGGTGGTCAGTCTGGCTGTTTGGCATTTCCAGTGTTGGTGTTGTTCGTAAACGCATCTTAGGCTTCTATGAGTGGCGCCTGGATCTAGATTCGGGGCTGTTGAGGCACAGAAATGACACTGTTCTAAGCTGTGTCGACAAAACGTTACTTTGTCGAAAATACAGGAACCACCCAGGTTTTAAAACCGATTTGAGACATGTCCTTTACGAATTAACAAGGGGTTTCAAAGCTGTGCTAACACGAAGAGTTCCAAAGAAATAACCAGCTCTGATGTTGATGGAAGCTAATGCTTAACATGTATTTGGAAAATCTTTTTTTTCCCGTCCTTCCCTCCCCTTCCTTACGGCCATAAAATTCTCCATGAGCAATGTTACTTTTTCACTCTTAAATTTCCACTTGGGTAAATGCCGTTTCTCCCTGGGTTTCAGTTAAAAGCCAAACGTGACGTGCCTCAAGGCTGATGTGCTTCTTCTGCACACAGAGGAAAGCAAATGGCTGGTCAACCCACCTCTCTTGGCGAGGGGCAAACACGTTTAGCAGCTTAGTGCATACTTTTGTTCTGGGTTTCAACCTGATTCCTTTTTTAACTCCTCTCTACAGTATCCTGACAGATTCTATTTTCCTTTCTCCTGTATTTCCCAGTTCAATATTTGCTCCTTATGAATTCACCCCACCACTCCCAGCATACCAACTTCCTCCGTAAAGGGACAATATCAAACGAGACACGTATATCTAAGCTGTGTCGACAGCGACAAGTAGAACTATTCAATAATTTATGACCATTCTTTCCCACGCCACCTTTTCCTTACCACCCTGCCTGTCTGCAGGCTTATTAAACCTTGTAAAGCTGGCTTGGTTTGTAAATAATTAGCCGTGTTATTAATTTTCTCCCCATTTAGGTTTTGCATCCACTTTGTAGAAATAATTTCATTGTGTGTGTGCACATAAAATGCATTTCTCCTGTTCTGCTGCAAGTGGGAAGTTAACGCAACCTTTCAGTATGGTTTAAAACCAGGGTATGGTTATCCATTGTGCTGATGATCACACCTGCATGGGCTTTGATGACAATGCAGTGACTTATTCCTGTGTTATCGAGCAGATTTATTTCTATGTTAACTAAAACATTTGTATGGTAGACAATGGAATAAAGACGATTTTGTGAGGATATTTTTCTAAACAGGCCTTCAGCAGCATCGCTAATATGTTCCTATAAACTGTTCAGGAATTCTTGTGAAGACCCGCCTTCACATGAAACCTGTATTTCTACTGCTCTGTTGTTTAACACGTGTATAGCTCCGTGGTTTAGTACACACGTGATGAACGTGATGAGCAGGGGCGTAGCTTTGGCACGATGGACTGACTGCACTGCCAGAGTGGAAGGATGCAAATGCATTGCACCTCTCGCTCCCCCTTATGCCACTTGCACGATGCTGGATTGTGAGCGCAGGGAGCGGATTTATACTACGCAGCCATCCAGTTTGGAACCAATTTGATGCATTATGTGCAGACGTTTTGATGGTGGGTACAAGTGCGTAGGTCTCATTTGTCAAAACAATGTTTTGGTCTTTTCGAATCCAGTTTTGTATTGGCAAGGCAGCTTTCTAACACTACACGTTTAACATCAAATCAACACTAAAAGGGGTATTCTCTTCTGAACCAGGCCGTCCGTGTAGGAAGGTGGAATTGAATAATGGGCTTCTGGTCAAAGTCCCTCAGCAAAAAAAAGACAAATTTATAACCATTCTTTCATAAGCCTATTTCCTGTTGTAGTGTTTATCAGGTAGACCTCTTGTGCTTGCTGGGTGGCTTCTGTTCTCAGTGCGAAGGCACTGATTTTAGTTTCAGAACTATTTTTTTTACAACCTGAAAACAAGTCAAAGCCAACTTGGCAGACACCTGTGCGTAAACGCAATGAATTTAACAAGCTGTCAAAGGAGCAATTGTTCTTAAATTCTGTTCCTTCAAACTTGTCAACAATTAAAATAAATCCTTGATGCTCCCAAGAGTATTGTGTATTTTTTTTAAGTTAAAATGTTATAGTCCATATTGAGTCTGTAACTGGCGTCTTTATAATGCAGGGGGATGCAATTTAGAGTGCTGGGGGTGAGAAGGTGATTGAAAACACACAAACCTGTTTTATTTTGCAAGTTTGATATTGCTATTTAGTAGGAATGTTACTTACAACACTTCCATGACTATCAAGGACCTGAGGAAGACATCTTTTGCATTGTGAGTACTATCCTGTTTAAAAAAAAATTTCTACTGACAGATAACCAAAAGTTTCACTTTTTTAAAAAAATCTAAATAATCTTAATCAGTTTGTGCTGTGTGGAACCTTAGAAATTCTATGATGCTGGAGGGTGAGGGGTGGCCTCCAATGTTTTTCTTTTAATCTGTGTTTAATGTCCTGTTCACGTTAAATACAGTATAATATTCTAAGGTAAGCCTCTCCCCACTCCCACCTGTGAATTCTTTTCAAAGCACACCATTGATTTTCCAATGATCATTTGTATTTGTATATGTGAAATAAGCACATTTGTTTGCAGTGTACATCTTTACGGTGTACCATACTGGACATACTGTGTAGAGAGAGGACACTAGAGGAAATGTAGCTGAACAAAGACTTGTGCAGAATAACGAATCCCTCTTAGCATTTACAATAACAGCTCGGACCTTTCTGCTAGACATAGACCAAGATACCACATAAAATTACATAGAATATTATAGCAAGGAAACAGGCCATTTGGTTCAACTAGTCTGTGCTGATGTTAGTACTACACTAGTACTAACTAAGGCCTGCAGCCCTCCATGTAGGATTTGGATTGGACATTTACTAGATGTAGGTAGGTAGGAAAAAACTTACATCTATACTCCTCTGAGTGGTTCATAGAAACTAAATGTTATTCAGAGAAACAACAGCTAATTTGTGCCTGCAGTGTCCTACAAATAACAAAAAGGGGCCAATTAAGTTGAAAGTGGGGGTGTATTTGAATGAAGAGGGAATGTAAGACAACAGTTGAGAAAAATGGCCATATTTATTTCAAATGATGGCTTAGGGAGAGTGGGGGAGGGTCTCTTAATGAATCATAATCTATTTTGTAGGCAAATGGGTGAGTCAACACTCCAGCTAATTGCAGAGTTTTTGTACAGGAAATTAAAACTTAACTGTAATGTGACCTTAAATATTACAATTCTTTCAAAAAAAATTCAATACTATTTGCAGTAACATCCTTTTAAAACATTGAGTACTTTTTGCACTATAAAATACAAAGATAATTATATTGTATTGATTATCTTGTAAGATTAGCAGCTTTAGTTTTTCAACATCAATCGTGAAAGGTACAATTTAATGGAGGTAGGCATGATGGGAGAAACTGTTTGCTTTATGATCTCCGCCAAATCCATCTATAAATATTGAACAGTATGATTCCCTCTTGATTCCAGAACTTGGTTCGACTTTCCATCGGAAAGTTAGCTCAACTTCATTGAGCTAATTCTACTGTTGTGTAGTATGCAATTGCTGTGAGCTCAGGTAATTCTGTGTCCTTAACATTAAATTGCAGGCCACTTATCCTTAGGGAAGGAGCAGAAAAGAATTTAGAATCAACTTAAGATCAAGAGGTAAATGGAAATTGAATTACACAATTTTTGTAAGATCTCTCTGGCTTTATTTTTGATGTGTACTTGTGCTGACATGTTTGCCTACAAACTAGTTGCTCCCATTTCACAGTAAATCCTGTGAAGCACTTTGAGATGTCCTGATGTGATAAAGCACAATATACTAAATGCAAGGGTTATTGTTATTTATTTTGCATGGTTATCTTCCTAACGCTCAATTTACTTTTGTATAACAAAAGTCCTTCTCACTTAAATTGAAGTATCATTATTAAATTTCACTATGTTGTATAGTATTGTGTCAAGAAGTGTAATTGGGTTGGGGGTAGAAAGTGTTGGCACTGAAAACTGAAAGCTCCTGCCCAAGATTAATTTGTGTAATGAAGTTGTGTAAGGTCTATTACTGCCTATTATTAAGATGGGGTCTCACAATATTATTAGAATATTTTATTTTCAATTATATCTTGATGTGGGTGTTTGTTTCATCTCGAGTGTCTTCTACGTGGGACATTTCTGTGTGCAAATTAGCTGACACTTTTGCCTACTAATATTCAGGCACTACACTTCACAGTAAATGTGATGAGTCATTTTTTGAAATGCAAGGGTTATTTTCATTACTACATAACTTTTATTTTCCTTGAACTGCTTGAGCCTTTGGTTTGTCAAAAAAATCTATTACTCATTGGATAGATAATGTCACAACTTGAGGAAAATAGCTGCAAGTTTTTTGAGCTTTAGTTTTTCATTAAAGAGATGCTCACACTTATAGATGAGGTACATGAGGAAAGAAAATGATAAACTGTTTTATCTTGTACTGAATAGTAGAACCAGAGGACGCAGCCTGTGATTGAAGGGGGATAAATTCAGAATAAATCTTGAGCAAGTAGTAAACACATGAAACAGGCTTCCTAGGGAGATGGTGGAAGCAGAAAGTGTTGTTTGTTTCAAGGACAAATTAGATAGATTTCTATTATAGTTTGGGGACATGACACATCAAGGGACTGCCAGGATGGTGGAAGGCGAAGTAGTTGGACCTTGGTCATCTTTTTTCCTACTGCAGAGAAAAATCCAGTGTATTTTAAATTACAAATATACTTTGTTTGACAGGAAAGTAGCTCAACCACTAACTATTGGGGAATCATTCGTGAGCGGAGGAATTGTGTATGATTGATGAAGGCGGCTGATTCTGCTCTAGCCATTAAGTTAAATCTGTCGTTGTGCCAGCCTGTAAATAATTGATTTGCACAATATATTCAGTTAGAAGTTAGTACACAGCAACAAATCACAATCTCATCTAGGAAATTGCTACAATGAGCAAATGGAGCAAGCTCCCCCACCCCTTTGTTAAATGGTGATGCCACAAACCTAAAGATATTCCATGAAGGAGGCACTGACATGTAATTTTTTACCCAATTACACACATACCCCATGAACAATAGTTTAAAATCCAGTTTTATTTTCTCTTTTTCATACAGGTTTTAAGGCATCTGCACGAAAGACATAATTTTGCAAAGGTTATAAAATCATTTTAGGTCAGCCTGTGGGTACCATTTGATTCTGTATCTTGATTGCTAAAATGTTTGTTCCGATACTACATGAAACCATTAAACTGTGTTAAATCCATTAAATATATACACACCAACAGCACTGTAAGCTTAAGACACTCACTTGGGGGTAAAGTCACATCACAAAAGGACAAAAGACCGCCATTATTCAGAGTTAGAAGTAGAGCTATTTACAGATAGATCCCTTATGGCATTTTTGTCTTAATATGTGTGCAAACTGGTCCGTTGGGGGTTGGGCAAGGCAAGGCAGGCAGCTAAAGATTTAGGAGTTTGTTTTCTTAACATCAATATCTGGAAGCACAACGTGATGCTACCATAAAATGCCATCTGGCTCATAACCCCCCCCCTTTTAACGTGGTCACACATCTACAATGGCAGGTCCAGCGCATTATAACAAAACAAAGGACAACAAAGTAGTCATCGTGCAAGCTGTCTCACGCATGTTATTCTGTTACTTCAAGTCTGAACGATACCCGGCCCAGGAATCGATCTCGAACGTCGTCGTTCTTCAGGTTGGACCCACTGATCTTGCACTCAATCATTAAATCCTTGTTGGTATCGTTGGCCCCCAACATGATTTTCACAGCAACCAATGGCTGTGTGTAGTTAACCTAGCAGGACGGATAAAACAAAACATTTACACTCAGGATTTTAATTCCACTCTTTTTGCTGGCATCTGGGCATCTTCCACTGCACTGAGCTGAGGATGATTTTGACTCCAGAGAGGATTCCTTGCAGAGAAGCCAGCTGGCCATGAGCCAAATGCTATTATTGACTTGTATAGTAAAATACATTTTCCCTTGGCAGATCTGGCAGACAGGAAGACTTGTGTCATAACAACACTGGAAAGTCAGCTCTGTATACATTGTAGATCTGCCATCAGAAGGTGCGTGTCTCCAAAACAGCATGATAGAGAGCAAGCATTCTTCAAGAAAATAGGGGGGTAAAAATCAAAACTTACATGGGTTATTCGTCCATAATATGGATAGTACATTAGGTCAAAGGATCCAAAATACTGCATAGCCAATTGAGGCTCATTCTGCATAGAGATAAGAACAAGTTTTAGTTCCTGTTATAGTACAATTTGACATTAGCATTTTACCTCACATTTTAACAGGCATAGGTAAAATCTGAAAGATATGCAAAACTTCAATCCTTTAATCTTGACAAGTAGAAGGCATAGACATTGCAGGTGTGTTTGCATATTAATCTGCAGGATTGCAAAACAACTGCATTTTCAGTCCCTCTCGATGAGTTACATGTCTTGACGATTTGGTCAAGGAAAGAAAGGCAAACGTTAAACGAATGTCACTTCAAGTATCAGCTTTGGATATACTTTTCCAATATGAGGGTTCCAAAATACAGAGAAAGCAAAACAGTAGACGCTTCTAAGCGCAGTGCATCCAAATTGAAGTGTGGAGGTGATTGCATTTGGATGTCAAATAATGCAAAATACATTCCAAAGCTCTTCTGACTCACAAAAAGGACACAGTTTTACATATTAGGTATTTTGAACAGGCGGATAAGGCACGACTGTTTAAAATTTAGTACCTTTGTGAAAAGAAGGCACTCACAGAAAATGTTGCTTTCCTGATGGAAATACTTATTCTCTTACCTGCTCTTAGCTGTGTAAGACATGCCTGCATTCAACTCTTATTTTGAAGAAGAAACTCATTTTCTATTTTGCTACTTTAACTACTGCCAAAATTATGTATTTAAACTTTAAACCACAGCTTTCAATGTATGTATATTTGCATAAAATTATGCAAGACATTCAGATTGTTGAAATGTGTATTTAGAACAAGCTGAAAAGCACAACATTGCAAGCTATTCTAATGCTAAGGCAGATTGTGTTTATCATATACCTTCAGGATTCAAACAGAATTGTAATCTGGAATCCTTGAAGCTCCAATTTGAAATTATACAGCCAATTAACAACAAAAGGTGTAGATTATGAGTATATGATAAAACACTACAGATATGCTCATATACACATAAGTTGAAACTGTGCAAAAGTTAGTGGTTGAGAAACTAACATTTCAGATATCTCACTTTCTAACTTTTACACACGCATATTAAGCTTCCGCTGAATTATAGATCCCTGAATGTAAACAAAGCTTCCATCTTACCCAGCAATTATTTTACTAGGTTGTGTGATTGCAGCATGAGGAGAAAATAAAATGAATATGAATACAGAAAACAAACAAAAAGTGATTTAAATGTTATTTGGTAATGGTTAACGGTAGTATTACAGAAGACAGTACAATTACAGCTCTTAAAACTGACAGTTGTGCAACCCATGAAATCCACTGATTTTGTGCCATAAGATATTTTAAAATCTGAAAATAGTTTCAATCAACATGATTTGTATTTCCCCTGCAATTTCGTTTTGAACATTTATGCTTAAAACAATGAACAGTGATTTTAGGGGGACTGGTTCTTATTGAATTACTGTGTCTAACTCAGTGAGGGAACAACACTGGGATCGAATTTACAAGTTGTGTAAACCATGTGTACAGAGGGAATTAAAGGTTAATCTGTCATCTTTCAATGGTTAATTAATAATGAAGGGCACCTGCAATTCCCTCTGTACACATAGTTTACACAACTTGCAAAGCAGACCCCATTGATTCAGCTCCCAAACACAGTTAGGTTTAGCGACTCATCCCAAATAGACTCCTTTATCTCTGAAAAAAATGTCTGTGGACAGGTTATTGAGATTTAAAAAACATATTGTTTCAGATACTTAAGGATACCTAGTAAGTAGTTATAGAACTTTGTGACTTTATCAGTTATGAACTTGAATGGCGCAGTACCGTAAGCACAGCTTTGCCTGTGGAGGAGAGGTGCACTGGTGACTGACCTTTTACGGTTCCAGTTCATTTCAGACCCTGCTGGGGATATAGAGGGTTAGTCAAATTGCCGTGCACACGGCTACTTCTTACATTATCAATGTTTTGCACTCTTAGGGCATCCTGGTACAAAACATTTAGTAAAGGAATTCATCATTTGGTAGAATGTCAGCAGTGTCCAAGGGAGTTACAGCTGCACACATGAGATCCAATAGCAAATTTAAACAGGAAAGACTTAACTCTTTTTCAATGTACAATTTTACATGTTAATTATAGACAACCTAGTTCCACACATGGTGCATGCATCATGTTTTAAAAATTACTTACTAAAGGTCTAGGGAAGGCTTTAAGGGTTGATCATTGGTAACATGGATTATACATATACTTCAACAACATGTTTAATGATAGCATTATCTAAAGCTTAGACAGATGTAGAAACAAGATAATGTGGTAGATATGGGTTACAGTTCCTGTGGATATATTTGAGGCACTAAAATAACAAATCTGCTGCCTAGATGACCTGGGAGGGGCTTTACAGTACCATTTCATTGAAGGTCAAACACAACCTGGTCCTTGTCCGAATGCAAGGAGATTACAAATAAAATACAGGAGATAGAAGCATGAATGAAGTAAGAGGGCATGATGGGCTAAAATTACAGAGATTGACAAGAGAGTGGACTTTATATCAAGCTAGGATGTGAGGTTTTTAGTAGGTAAAGGGAAAATATGAAAAGGTGTGGGGGGCAAGAAAAGCCACACACAGTGAAGAAGAAGCATTTAAATGAAGGTATAAGCAGATAATCACTCCGGACAATGCAAAACCCTGGTACGCCGCACTCGGTACTTTTATCAGGTGTAAAGTAATTTCTCAATGTAATTCTGCATTCCAGTTCTCCATTGAATATTTCATTTGTACACAAAGAGATCGAACCATGGAAACACAGAAAGCCATTTGGCCCATTGTGCTGGTTCTTTAAAAGAGCAATGCATTCTGTCCCATTCACCAGTCTTTCCTCTACCTCTAGAAATTACTCCTTTAAGATATGCATCAAGTTCCCTCGCTAAATCTCTACTTAGATCCTGCTTTGACCACCGACGTATGGACTTCTTAAAAAATAAAGTAAAAAAAGAACTTTAATCCTTTAAAAGTGCTGGGATTTTATTCAGTTACAGAAATGAAACAAGACAATTTCACCTAAAGTCTCATCCTAGCTCCACGACTCAGTGGTGTAATTTATTTTGGGTGAAATGATCTTTATTTTAAATCAATATTAAAAGAGATATTGAAGGTGCTGTCCAAAAAACTTCCACCAGAAAAACACAATATTGCTGAACCATGTAAAATGTAAGAAAAACAATTACTGACAAGCAAAAGGCAGAACGCAATACAGAGATCTAGTTGGGCAACTGACCTTAGCTGAACAGTTTACAACAGGATTCTTTCCCCCTCCTGCTTCCAGTCCAATTATCTGAAAGAATCGTAAAATTTTTAGTTTTGGAATTGGCTGGATTTTGTTCTGAGCAGATATTGCTTCATGAACACTTACCCTATTCATTTTAACAAGGACACACGGTTTGCCCTCAGAGTAGCCAAAACTGGTATCGTTCAATCCGGAACAGTTCTAAGCATTGTGCGGTTAAACTGGCAGGCCTCTTTGGGGAATTTCTTATCGCTCTGGTTGAAATACTTTCCGCGTTGACATAAAACATTTTTTTGGGCTTGTTGCAAATCCTCATAGGCTGTTAACAGATAGAAATGATAGTTCAATAACAAAGAACAAGATTAAACCAGAAATGAGGCCGCAAAGTGAGAAAATCAAAATGATTCAATACTCACGTTTTAGAAAATTATCAAGAGCAATTACATATTTTTCATAAGACTGAGCATCAGATTTGTTAAATACAATCTCCAGGGCAGATCCTACTTTTGGTCTAATCATGAGACCTGCAAGAAAACAAACCTCAATAAATAATTATTGCATAAAACAGCCAACTGACTATTCGTTTTCCCATCTACATAAGCAGAATTTGGTTCACTAATAATAAAAAAAACTGCTTCACTATTTTCTCTGTGCATTACCCTCCTGAAAATTACCCCCTATAAATCAATTAAGTTACAATGTTTGGCCAGCGCCTGTATAGTTGAGCCATCAAGCTATGAGTTGAAATACTAAACCGATACAGATTTTCCTTTTTTCAAAAACTACACTATGAACTGTGATAAAAGCCAAAATGCTGCCTACTTTTTCGTCAACTAAGCTATAAGCTTCATCCTCACAAATTCTAGTTCTCCCAAGTAGATCTAAATGCTCATGTACAACTGGAGTAAAAAAAACGTAGGAACAGGAGGAGGCCAAGTCTGCTCCACCAGAATATCAGATCAAGCCTTTCCACCAGAATATTAGGTTATGACAGATCTTTTAATCCCATTTCCCTTTCCCCCATAATGTCTTACTTCCCAAGGATCTTTCTCTCTATTAAACATTTATTGCTTCCACAGACTGGTTATATCATGGGATCTAAATTTTCTAGTACCAAAACATTAATGAGGTCAACTAATAATATTTCTAAATATAATATAAACAATGCATTTTATAATACATTGTAAAGGAATCTAGGATTTGTTGATTTATCTGGATCTCTATGTTCAGTGTGAAATACTTTTAAGGCCTCCTGGTGTGAAAGTCTGTATATAAATGTATATTGCATTGTAATCATAGTTTATTTTGTACAATACTATTGCAATGTATTATGAAAGATCTCTCTACATGTGCACAACAATTTCTCAAAAATCAGTTACCTGGATTAGCTACTCTGTCACGATACTTGGGTGTGTAGTCATCCAGGGTCTGAAGCATAACCCACATGGTGAAGCTGAACAGCCCAGCCAGGAAGCCATAAAAGACCAGGTAGAACAGCAAAATCAGAGCTGCATAGGGAGAGAAAAGAAAGTACTATGTACTTGCAATATATCCTTTCCACATCCTTGAGCAGTTCAGCTCTCTGAAATGCTTGAGGATATGCAAATCTTCAAGCAAATGTGAAAGGAGCAGAGGAATTTGGAAACAATATTATTAGTGCGCTGCAGTAATAATATTTTGATTAAGATATCTTCCCTAGTCCTCCCTGAAGGAACTCTCCAGTTCCATAGGAGAGACCACCTCAGATATTTTATCCTTGTGGGAGACTTCAAGTGTGAGCCTGCAGTCTGTTTGCTCATAATTCTCCAATTGCAACTGAGCTACCAGAGACCAACACTGAGCAAGGGTCTCTTCACTAAAGCTCACAAGGGAAAATCAGAGGTTCTCAGAGACCGGAGAGCAGGTTGCCATCACCACAGAAAGATATCCAAGGTACAACACAAAAAGGAAGTGTAGAAAATAAATCCAATTGTTAAGAAAAAAAATTTAAATCTAATTTTTAATAAATTGCTTGCTCTAGTTATTTCATGTTGTGTATTATCTAAGGCAGAATGCAAATTATAGGACATGTAAGATCGGCCAATTGATATATTTTATAAAAAAAAGTCAAACATTTTCTCAGATGCACGCAGAAAAGTCTCAATATGTCCCTTTCACTCCTGATTGTGATTCTCATTGCTGGGCTGTAATGATTTTAAAATTGCACATCAATAATCTCATCAGTAATCCATAAAGGCAAGGCTAGGTTGAGAACAGTTCAGAGAAGATGGTCTGGGTTTGTACACTGTCTCTGCAGGTATAGTTCTATATATTGAGTCCTCCAGTTCTTTAATGAGATATGATAATTGCAGGCATGACTGCAGATATTAGTGATTCCTAACACCGACTTCTGAACACACTGCCAAAGCCACAGCACACTGGGAATGGATTTCAGACTCGTCACCTTGTCAGACCATGATTAAAACCCCATGTTTCATAAGCAGTAGAAAGCCATAGATTTTCCCTTAAGTTTCCAGCACCAATTGTGTACTTTAATTGCAGTTTTCAGCAATGTCATAAACCCCTACGAGGAAAATTGGAACCTGCATTTGAACTGGATAGAATGTCCATGGTACTGAGCCTCTGATTTTCCTCCTGTTGCTATTCATATGCAGGCTTCACCAACAAAAATACTGCCTTCTTATCATCAATGTCTCGTCACACAAATCCTTTGTCAGAGGTAGCATTATTGTTGCCATATTGAGGATCGTTTCTGTATCATAATGTAAACTGAAAACTTGAAAGAGGGATCAGAATATCTCATGGGACTATCTTAATAAAAGGCAACCAAGACCTGACTGGTATTGCACTGAAGTATTTGACCAATGAGTGAGTGAGTGAGTGAGTGACTCTTCACCTCGCTAAGCTCCCCAGTTCTGATTTGGACTACAAAACCAATTCAACACTCATCTCTAGAGAATGAATTAATGGCTTTACTTCACTTTTCCATCACTTCAGTCTTTCTGATTATGTTCTCCTGGAAAGATGGAGGCGAGTTTTACAGTCTTCTGCCTCAGTCAAAACCAAGAAAGAAACTCTTGATTATAGTTACTTGCTGGAAAAGCCCTGCAGATTAAAGGACTTGAAACCCAGCCAGATATCTACAAAAGAAAGCTTCAATTTACCAAAGGAACAGAAGAAAAGTCCAGCGTGAAGAGAACACTAAAATTTCCAATAAACTCAAGCTTAACCTATCAGAAACAAGACTAAGAGCAGCATCTATCAAACAAACCAATTCACAAAACATAAAAGACTTCACAACTCTTCCTACCAGAAAAGCAACAGGAAGACGCTTGCCGAAGGCAGAATAAAAAGAACTGGACTATTTTTACCCAGATTCTAATTTATACATCAGACAACATGGTTTGAAATCACAATAAACAAAAGCAGACCCATTCTAATATGAATGACAGGAAGATTAAACAACCATGCAAGAAATCTAAATTTTTTTCAGCTAAAAGCAACAGCACAAAGGAAGAGTTTCTGATCAGTCTTCTCTCCCTCCCCCTAATATCAGATTCACACATCTGTATACTTCAAATACCATAATCACATATCATTTGAATTATCATTACAATGGAATGATGAAAACCCAATACTGAATTACCCTTTTCATCAAAACCATATCCAACTTGCATAATTGCCAAGCATATACTTTAAAAAAATACATTGGGGAAACTAACCTTATTAAATTTGACAACCTATAATTTCCCACAAATATTTTAAAATCTAATTTTATATTAAAGCAATAAAGAGAATAAAAACAACAGGATAAAAAGTACATAATCACCTTATACAACCTTGTAGTAGACTAACTTGCAAATGATTACTTGTAATCAGATTATAAAACATTTTTGTTTTGTTTCTCCCCAAATAAAGGAAAACGATTGGCAACTGCCCATTCATCTCTTGGGTTGAATTGAGGAGCATCATCCGAGTTCTTGATGGCTAAGTCTGAAACTGCCGACATTCAAACTGGCAATTCACTCAAAAAAACTCTCTGAAGGAAAATATTTTTAAAAACCTTCGACCTTATTAGGTTTCTTGTGTAGGTAGTTCAGGCAAAATAGTGAAACAAGTAAAATACATTGAGAAATTCTGTGCTTATCAATAAACATTTACTTTTCTGCATTATGCTTATTTTAAAATGTAAAGATATTAGAATAAAAAAGTTATTAGAATCACAGAAATTTACACCAACGAAAGAGGCTATTCAAATCACCGAGTGTTCACCGGCTCTCAGACCAAGCTGTCCGTTCAATCTCACTGCCCTGCCTTATCCCCATACCTATACAAGCCTCTATCCTTCATATACCTGTTCCTCTTAAAACACACAATGGACGACTCTGCCTCTAACCCCTTTGCTAACAACCTTCTATAATTAAAAGTATCCCCTTTCATTGGGTGTATTTAAGGGCATGTTCAAGAGAACGTTTCCCCCCCCAACACTAAAATGCCTTCAAATATTCAAAAATTTCCTTTTCCAGGATATCCACACAGAGCCTAATAACAATCCCTCCAAAACCCAAAACAATAATAAATTGGTCATTTTCAATCTACGACTGTTTGTGGGACACTGCTGTGCGCAATTGGCTGCCGCGTTCGCCCACAAATATACAGTCAATTCACTTTACAGTGTGTTCTGTGAAGCGCTTTGGGACGTCCTCCCGACGTGAAAAGCGCTATATCAAATGCAAGGATTATTATATTATTATTATATCCCCAGCCTCTTTCTTACTTCACTTCCCCCACCATTTGAAGTTGCAATTGCCAAAAGGGGTGGTATTTTTACAAACCATCAGATATTTCAGAATGATTATTGCAGATTGCCTACATTATTTTCTTTGCTTGAAACTATGCAGAAAATATAACCTGAAATTGTCAAATGAAATCTATGCTTTGGCTGTTTTTGACTCTTTCTCCAGCTTTCTCCTCAATTTCAGTCACCTGCACCCGTGTATGAGATGAATTGCTGCAATTCGCCTCACAGAGTCGCAAATACCTCTCCAAAAGGCAATTCCAAGGTTCTGGAACAAAAAAAATTAATAAATATATTTCTTTAAACTCAATGACCGTGAAAATGTATTAGAATGTGATATATACAGACAAAATAATACTGTACTTTCAGAAGTTGAGCCAATTAAACATGTTAAAATCATACTTAAAGTTAGACACAAGTCTTATTTTCTTAAAATCACACAATGAAACTAATATGAAAAAATGAAGTCATGTATTTAGACATGAAGCAAACAACAGCTTTAATTTAATGCACCACCAACTCGTTCTGTGTCTAACCTATGCAGTGAAACTGGTGCAAGGCGCAAAACGAATGAAAAATTCATTTTTCATCAGCTTCACAGAAGGCCACTTAAAACATTAACACTTGGCTTCTCCCTTTTGCTGATTGACAGTCACTGCACAGTAGACTGGTCCCACCGTCTGCAAAAAAAAAACCTTTTGTGAAGGTCCAACCGAGCCTTTTGCCTCTGAGAATTGAATTTGTTTTCTCTCCCAGCCCCAGGCATTTGACAGGTGGAAACCCTCTCCATAACTCTGCTCAAATCAGGAATCGCGCCATCCCTTTTTATTTAATAAAAAAAAGCAACGCAATCTTCCGACGTGTAAATACTTTGAAGTCAAACATATATAGTACCGCAATGAAACCTTCAACCCTGTCGAATTGAAAACCATATTATCAAACCTGAATACCCACCAGAAACCATACTGGGGGGGGGAAAAAAATCACACTGCGTAAAGCAAATCTGCGAAATAATCGACTGTTTAATCCAGTATGTGTAGCCCTCGGTGGGGGGGGGGGGGGGAGAGGGAAAAAAATGACAGGTAAATAACAAATTAATCATTCCCGGGAAAGAGAACTGACAAGAGCACGAAGTGAGCTGACAGCTGCATTTTGTGACGATCTCTCCATCGGAGCATCTCCCGACAGATCCCCGCAATTCCTCAGCAAAATAACGAACCTGACCGTGGAGAACCGCACTGCTAAGTTTGACAACAGCTGCTCCGAAAGTGACATTATTGGGTGACAACTGTATTGACAGAGAGAAACACTGAAGTGCAGGATTGTGTGTGTGTGTGTATGTGTGTGTTGGGGCGGGAGGGGGGGAACCTCAGGAGCAAACACCTCCCAATCAATCCCAACGCCCGCAAAATAAACGCAACGTGCAATGATGAAACCTTCTTATTTCAAAATAAAAATATAGGAAAAAAAAATCACATCCGAGCAGCAGCAAGTTGATTTGGTGATTCACTCCCCTCTGGATGCAGATTATGAATAACAACAGTAAGCATAATCCTTGCATCAGATTAGATATTAGCGCCTCATCACGTCTTCGAGAGACGTCTCAAAGCGCTTCACAGGAGATACTGTAAAGTCAGCTGTAAGGCACAATATTGGCTCCGTTTTTTTTTTGAAGGTGAGTGAGTGGGGGAGAAGCTTCTTTTCCACGAATGAAAATTAATGCTGCTCGAAGCGGACCGGGTTACATTGGGAGATAAAAAGGCAAATCAGTTAGTGAGAGAGAGTCTTTCAAAACCAAACGAGTGTCCGAGGTGCAGCGAATGCTTCAGAGCACTCAACTCAGCCCCACCAACCGCACCGCACCGCACCGCACCGCACCGGCTGCGGGTTTTAAAATGAATTCATTGCGTTTTCTTTTTTTTTTACATAATGATAATAATAATAATAGTAAAAAAAGAAAATATAAAGGCAATGTATAATCTCTTTAACCAATGTTATCGCGGGTGGAAAAAAAAAGCCGTATTTTCTGGATGGGATCCGACCGAGCGCTTAAATTGAACCTCAGACACAAATATTAGACGTAAAATAACGACAGACACCAATTATTTTTGAGGTAAAAAAAAACAGGGCTTTTTTTTTTATCCCCTCTCTCTCCTCTCTCTCGCCCCCCCAACCCCACACACCGCCACCAACCCAACCAAACACCGACCCCCCCCCTCCCAACCCCCCCACCGCCGCCGCCGCCGCCGCCGCCAAATTGCGGCGATTACAGCTGCGGGAAGGGAAGAGGGTACCGTTTCTCGCCGCTCCTTACCCCAGCTGCTGGCGGTCCTCCCCATGAACTGGCCGGTTCCCGGGTTATAGATGAAATGCAGCCATCCTCCCTTGCTCTGCTCCTTCTTCTCATCCTTGTCAGCCATAGCGCAAAACGGCGGTCAGGGCGGGCGGGCGGCTTACCGGCCAGGTGTCTCAACCGACGGGGACAAGTCTGACTGCACAGTACCACCACCGGTGTGATGCGCGGTGTGCGTAGAAGTGTGGGCGGGTGGTGGACTCTTATGTTTTTTACGCTATCCCTCCCTCCCTCCCTCCCTCCCTCCCTCCCGCTCGCTCGCTCGTTCCCTCCCTCCTGCCGCCACTCTTCGATGCTGCAGTGAGCACCGCCGCAGCGGTTCGCCGGCGGCTCAGTGGCGCACCGAGCATGCGCGCTGCGACCACCAGGCTGGCGCGCGCGGCGCCGAGCAACGGTCGTCGCAAAAAGCGCGCGCGCGCCGCGCCGCGCCGCGCCGCGCCCGGGCGCCCGAGGCCCGAACACGCGCGCCGCCCCGCCAACCGTCGCCGCACGCGCAGGCCCCGAGCATGCGCGCTGTGCCACCAACCGTCCAACCATTGACTGGAAGACAGGCTTTGCCGCAGCGCCTCCTGTGGTGAAAGGAGGCGTGTGAGTCCCATCAGTGACGTGTCTGCGGGAGAGGAGGGAGGACGTGGTTTTATATATACATATATATATATATATATATTCCAGTTATCTTTTGGTTTAAGATTATTTGGAGGCCGCGTTTCCGTGTTCCACATTATATTTTTATGCTCGTGCTTGTACATTCAACAACAACAACAACAACAAGATTACATTGGTATAGCGCCTTTCACGCCACTCCTAGAGTAGGTATGAACTACTAGTTATAATAATATAACTATATAATAATATAACTATAATAATATAACTATATAATAATAATAATGGTTGTCACAGCGAGCATGTTCGGTGCGCCATTTAGCCGCGGGTATTATATGTTATATATTATATAATAATAATATACTAACGTTATTATCATACTAGTTATGATGATAATAATATAATAATAGGGCGTTATCGCGTGCGGTATTCGACGATATTTTTTCCCGCTACGGTAGATAAGAGCCCCGGCGGGCGTTGAGGTGATGGGCGTGCGGCGCGCGTAGAGTGGGAGGAAGTTACAGCGCGGGAGCGAGGCGTTCGTTCGGGCCGTCGACCACCGCGTCCGCGCTCCCGGAGCACGCTGCGCTGTTCTGCTCGATCCCTGCAGCCCCCCTCGAGCTGTCGTAGCTACAGTCGATCCACTTTAATAATAATAATAATAATAATAATCCTTGCATTTGATATAGCGCTTTTCGCGTCGGGAGGACGTCCCAAAGCGCTTCGCAGAACACACTGTAAAGTGAATTGACTGTATATTTTTGTGGGCGAACGCGGCAGCCAATTGCGCACAGCAATGTCCCACAAACAGTCGTGGATTGAAAATGACCAATTTATTATTGTTTTGTTTTTTGGAGGGATTATTATTAGGCTCTGTGTGGAGTAAGGAAACTTGCCCGAGGTTTGGCCCTGACCTGCCTGGGATTGAACTCAAGTCTCACTTGCAAAGCGAGTGCTCTAACCACTGAGCTACAGGACTCCACAAGTGCAAGGATTATTATTATTATATACCTGGCTACGTCTGTCTTGAAACCCACAATGGACTCAGCCTCTGCCACCTCACTTAGTAGGGCATTCCATATGCCAACAACAACAACAGAATTACATTTGTATAGCGACATTCACGTCGGGAGGACTTCCCAAGGCGCTGGACAGTCAATGCGCTACTCTTTTAAATTCTTTTCAGAATTTTTTTTCCCCCTAAGGCCCTCCTCCTTTCACTCTTCTTGTGCTATCTTGAATCTATAGCCCATAGTCAGTGACTTCCCTACCAGTGGAAATAGTTTCTCCACTCTTGTCAAAACCACCCTATCATCCCTTCATAATTTTGTACATCTGTATTAGGTTTCCCATCTTAATCTCCTGTGCTCCAGTGAAAACATGACCAACTTCTCAATCTTTCCTCCCCAACTATTTGGTGCGAGTGAGGATACAGGCAGCGGAGTTCTGGATCGGCTGAATTTTGTGGATGGTGGAATCGGGTAGACCGACGAAGTGTGCATTGGCAGGACTGGAGGTGACAAAAGCACGAATGAGGGTTTCAGCAGCTAACAGTAAAATAATTAATTGATTAATTAAAACCTGCAGTAAATGAAAGAATAGTCAATCTGATGTGAACATTATACACCAAAGAAACAGAGTACACTAACATGAGTTGTTCACTCAGTTCCTATCCAAGCATAAAAAGCAGAATGAAATATCGAACTCAAATTTATCATGAATAATAACAGATACAAACAAAGGATTTTAAGGCCACAATCCAATATTGGGTATCGGGTGCTGTCTCTGAATCTTTTTGATGGTTCAATTCACTATGCACAGTGCAATACAATATAAACATGGGGTGAACCAGTACGAATTGCATTGGAGTCCAGCTCTTCACGTCACTGGAGTATTCCACAATGCAGCTTTGGTTTCCCAGTGGACAACCTAAGAATTTCAATTGACATTTTTAATGCTATTAAAGAGCCACTCACACAATTAATTTTGTAGTCTCTTAGATTGGGTATTTGGTTATGCAAAAGCTCCTAACCAATGCAGAACTAATACAAAATGGATTGGATACTATATATCAGGTTTCCCACTTCATATCATTATATTGCTGGAAACAAAGTCACTTGACACCAGCAGTATAAATGCGGGACAAGGGTTACTATTGATTTACAACATTAACTACCTTCCTTAATTGTATTACTAACTTATGAGCAATAAATCTATTATTTTCTATATATTTATTTATTTTCCAACTTCTATTCCACCTTTAAGGTATAACATATAACAAAATAATATTTCCAGTCAGATTGAAAACCCATTAACATTATTTAACTTTTTATAATTTTTTTATTTCATAGAAGTTTTACATGAAACAAACAAGCTGTATTTAATCAAGACAAAATAGCTGCACTTAAAATATATTTTTCGCCCGTTCGCTCCGCTCAGCCGGCCGGCTCTGGCCTGCTCCACATTCCCCGACACAACCACCCCACCATTGGCAGGAGAGCCTTCAGCCACTCTGCCCCCAACCTCTGGAATTCCATCCCCCAGTCACTCCGCCTCGCCCCCTCCTTATCCTCCTTCAAGTCCCGCCTCAAGACCCTCCTTTTCGACCGTGGCATCGGCCACCCCCCCTTCCCCTCCACTCCCTTCCCCCACCCCGACCCCAGCTCGGGTCTGAAATGCTGTACTCTGTCCAGCGCCTTGAGACATCCTCCCGACGTGAAAGGCACAATACAAATGTAATCTTGTTATTGTTGTTTAAGTTACCCTGTATTATGTACCGTTTCCTACCCAAGAGGGTGGGCTCACAAGCCTCTAGACTTTATTGAGATGCCCAGTAACAGGTATGAGAGCAGCTGGGATGACTCACTCTTTAAATGTTTCCCTTCTTTCCTGTTCAGTGTTTTTCAAACGCTAACCATAGCTAAGTTTGGGAGCTCACTATTTAGGTAATCACAAGCACAAACACATACCCTACCAGTAAACTTGCTGTACTGTCACACTACATAGAAATTACATTTTTGAAAATGAATTACCTCATTAGATAACAAAGAAAAAATCATTATAAACTCAACTTGTAGGACCCTGGGTTACTGCAATGTTGAGTTATTATCAGCTATGAGACACAAGTTCAAATCCTAATTAGCATTTTTACTTGGATTTTCTAAAAGCATAATCTTCACCAGTTTTAGGATATCTATGGAAGAGAAGGAAAACTCCTCAAAGAAACTTGTAGCATTCAAGAGAAACCTAATATTGTACCAAAAGATTAATTTACAAATACCTGATTTTTTTTGGTAATTTTGACGAATTATTTCAATCTGATGTGCCCCATACAAATAGCTGGTATATGTGCCAAATCTTGGCAGGAACTTTATTTAATTTTGTTATTTAGCTGTCAATTTTATGTGATACCTGTGTTCAGAATTCCACATTTGGATTTTGCAAGTACCCAAGTTTTATAATCTACAAAGTTAATCTACAAAACTCAAATTTTCATCCTTAAATCAGCAAATCCAGAAAATCAGCAAAGAAATGTGATATGTGTGGAGAAGCTTACTATTGTCTTACCATCCTGTTAAAGAATAATATTAATTATAGGGACAAAACATAAATCAAAATACTGTAGCTTACATTCACAGAATTGTACATACACCCGATTTAGCTTCATCACTGCCATTTGCAGAGAAGCCTGCTTTTGACTCCCGTCTGGCAGGGTCGTTGAGTTCCTCAAAGAGACCAGACTCAATCATTTCTTCCTGCCAGGGGATGGGGACAGAACCAGTTGCAAATTTCTTGTAGAACTTCTTATCCTTTTCGTCAATGTCAATACCTCGAACCTCAGAGAAATCAGCAATGTCTCCAAGATCTTTACAGTATACTGTAGCAGGATTTGGCACGAAAGGAGGATCGACAAGTCCAGCTTCTAATCTTTGAAAGTTGATGGATTTGAAGAAAGAATGTTTTCTCGGATCACTACATTCTTGGCTAAATGAAATCAAATAAATTAAATCAACTTTAATAAATGACACTTGTAATTGGTGTTAATAATATAATGCTTGTATTTAAGATAGCATAATATCAAATACAAGCGTATTTGAACATGCTTTATTTAGAGTGTTCATAACAGTGAGTTAAGGCTCAGCTATTTAGATTCACTTTGAGGGTTAAGGTACTATATCGAATGCAAGGATTATTATTATATTATTATGTTACCATACGTGATGTAGCACACATGGGTTTTTAACCTGAATGACTACTGTTATATATTAGTAAGAAACTCTGAGATATACAAAGCCGAAGCTAATTTAAAATGAAAAAGGCATGCAATTAATTTACAATTCAGGCCTATTCTAGAGATTACAGCACTAATTTATCGATCTTGAGTTCCTTACTTGCAGCCCAATCGATCTTCTATTTTCTTTGCCAAAAACAATTTGCAAATATCTTTAGACTCATCTGTGAAGTTGCCGTGCAGATATGTTTCTTCATCTTCCAAGGTTCTTCTCTTCACTTCATCTTTGCTGACCTTTTCTTTGAAATCCTTGAATGGTGTTCGACCTGCAATCATCTCATATATGCTGCATCCGAGAGCAAACCAGTCCACAGAGTATGTGTAGTTTTCTTCTTTTAAAATCTCTGGAGCCATGTAACCATTTGTTCCTGCCTGTATTAAAGAAAACAAAATGCATTTACAGTAAACTCCTGATAACTCAACCGTGGTTTAATGTGTCACTAACAATTAAGTTATCATGCCACATTTATTTACATATTTGTACATTTGCCTAACTCGCCACTCCGGATAACTCATCAAGTTTTGATAGGGTAGACATAGGGAAGATGTTTCCACTTGTGGGGGAGACCAATATAAAATAGTCACAAATAGATCAAATAGGGAAGTTAGAAGAAATGTCTTTACACAGAGAGTAGTGGGAATGTGGAACATGCTACCACAAGGGGTTCAGGGAAATAGCATAGATGTATTTAAGGGGAAGCTAGACAGGTACATGAGGGAGAAAGGAATATAAGGTATTGCTTGAAGGCTTAGTTGAGGAAGGGCAGGAGGAGTCTCATGTCGAACATAAACATTGGCATAGAGCAGTTGGGCCGAATTACCTGTTTCTGTGCTGTATATTCTAATGTACTCTAGTGTACTCTAATGTATCACTAAGCCCTTTTTCTTTGGAGTGATGAGTTATTAGGAGTTTATTACATATGAAAAAGCATTTCTAAGCTGTTAGACTAATAAAGAGTTTCATCTTACTCAAAATTACTCATCTACCTATACAGCAGTTTAATTTCACAAATGTTTGTACAATAGAATACAAATAAAATGTACAAAACATTCATAATGGAATCGCATGAATATTGACAAGGTAAATGCCTAACTTATTAAACATACAATAAAAATCCTTGCATTTGATGTAGTGCCTTTCACATCGGCAACAAATCTCAAAGCATGTCACAGGATTTACTTTAAGAGGACGCAGCAGCCAATTTACGCACAGATGTTCCACAAACAATCATGAAGTGATTTGGGGGATTGTTGGCCAGGATATTGGAAGAAACTCCCTTCCGTTGTATATAGTGCCATGGAATTTTTAACCTACACCTAAACAGGCAAATAATATTAATAATAATCCTTGCATTTAACATAGCAATATATATATATTGTGGGCTCCTGTAGCTCAGTGGTTAGAGCACTCGCCTTGCAAGCGAGACACCTGGGTTCAATTCCACGCAGGGCGAAACCTTGGGCAAGTTTCCTTACTCCACACACCTGATAATAATCCCTCCAAAAAACAAAACAATAATAAATTGGTCATTTTCAATTCACGACTGTTTGTGGGACATTGCTGTGCGCAATTGGCTGCCGCAGATCGCCCACAAATATACAATCAGTTCACTTCATAGCATATTCTGTGAAGCGCTTTGAGACATCTAGAAGACGTGAAAAGCGCTATATCAAATGCAAGGATTATTATTATTATTATCACGTCATTAAGATGTATCAAAGCCCTTCACAGAATATACTGTAAAGTGGATTGATTCTGTATTTTGTGGGCAAGATGGGACCTTGGTTTAATGTTTCCTCCAAAGGATGGCACTGGCAACAATGCAGCACACCCTTAACAACCATTGTTAGCAGGTTGTAATTATAGCACTAATCTGAAAATGGGTTCAGATGGCACCATATTCTGCAAGAGTAAAAATTAATCAATTTACCAGGATGCAAGACTTCCAGGATACCAGGAAGTTTTTTTTTAATCTAGATGGTAATTAACAACTGGATTAGGCTGTCATGAAGGATGGTTGAGGCCAGGAAGCTTGAGATCAGGCGGGCAAAAGGACCTTCTTCATCTGAACTATTCTTGCGACCTCATGTTTCTTTTTCTAATACTCTGCTTATTTGTTCTCAGGTATATGCTATGCTTCTTGTCTGCAATTGTTGTCTTGTATATGGAAGCTGTGTGAGCTGACATTTTATAATCAGCAACTGGTGGAAGGCATATTCCTGTCAGCAATGAGACGGATTACATTTTTTTTAGCTCTTTACAAAGTGCCAAAAGTATTTCAACCAAATAATTCTCCTAAAGGACAATATCAGAAGTGCAATAGAGGATCAGATTAAATTATTTCTTCATATTTTGTTTTCATGAGACAAGACACCAGACAAATTACAGATCCAATCAAACTGACTCGGTAATCTATATATAGAGGTCAATATTTTTTGTTTGTCAAAAGAAAATTTAATTAAATATATTATTTATCAAAGGACGGACATTCCACTTGTTAGTATGTAAATTTTAAATTGCTGAGAACTGTGGGGCAACTGGTTTCTAGATTAAGACCTGAATTTAAGAATTTTCTACAATTCTACACAAACTAAATTTAAATGATATTTAAAGGATTAAACTAAATGACTTTTGGGGTCTTAAATGTCTAAAGAATGCCTTGATCAGACGGGATATGACTTGAATCCTCAGGGAAACTGATCAGGAAGACTTTGGCTAGTATTATGTGTCAATCTGGCTCAGTTGTAGCATCCTTGCCTCTGAGTCAGGATGTTGTGGGGTCAAATTCATATAGTCTAACTTGACAGTCCAGTGCAAAGCTGGGGAAATGCTTCATTGTTGGAGATCTCTTAGATGAGACTTTAAACTGAGGCTTTGTCTGCTTGTTCAAGTGGATGTTAAAGATCCCATGGCACTATTCGAAAAGGAAAGGGAGTTTATCCCGGTGTCCTGGCCAAAAATCCCCCATAAAATTGGTCATTTTTTAATGCGTGTTTGTGGGACGTTCATGCACAAATTGTCTACTGTGCTTGCCCACAAAACAAACTACACAACATTTTACAGTAGATTCTGTGAAACACTTTGGGATGTCCTCCAGTCATGAAAGATGCTCTACCAAATATAAGGATTATTATTATATTTTGTAAGCTCCCCAGATTCAAAGACTATCTGAAAATTGGCTGCCACATTCTCCTACAAATATACACAGTCATTGCATTTTATAGTGTGAAGCACTCTGAGATGTCTTCCCAATGTGAAAGCGCTATGCAAAATTTCAGGATTATTATTATCTGAAACAAGTAATGAGATCTTGATAATCAAAAAAAAAAGTGAAAAAACTGAACCAGAATTATAGGCGTATAAAATCAGTAGTGGGGAAAATGTTTAGGAAGCATTCTGCTGGGCCAAAAAGAATTGTCAGCATACTTCCCACGTCTACCAAATAAGGACTATCCAGTGGAGATAATTGATAATTGGTCTATGTTGAGATAATTGATCTTCCTTTTTTTCTTGTTTAACCTCACTGACGTTTAATACCGTTAGGTCAGCGAACTCATAGTATTAAGATTAGGGTGAAACCCCAGGTCCTATCACCCCAACATGCTGTGGTTGGGTCTTGTTATTGTGTTGCTTGAACTCGCAACTTTACCCTTATTTTTAATTTATGTTTAATAATCCAAATTAATAACTACATTTTCATTTATCTTCACTGATGAAAGTTTCCCAGCACTTCTTTACTTAATGCACAAACTATTTACAAATAATAAATGATGATACACACCAGGATGTTGGCAATTATTAGCTTAATTACTGTATAGGACTTAACTAAAGTGTAGTCCTAGGTGGATGACCACCATATTAATGACTAAAACATCCATGACTGGTTTGCAATTGGCTGCTGCGTTTCACCCACAAACTATACAATCAATTCACTTTACAGTATATTCTGTGACGCACTTTGATCTCAATGACTTGATGAAGCACTATATCAAATGCAAGGATTATTACTATTAATAACACTTGTGTAGTTTATGATGTCATTGGAATTTTTTGTTTAAATTCTGAGGTTAGTATTTATATTATGGAGAGATTTAAATAGGACTAAGAGGATTTTCTGAGATTACCAAGTAGAGTTAGTGACACATTCCTTAAAATAATATAGCTAATTGTTGTATCTTTCCAAATTAAAATGACAGAATAACAAGACATTCAAAAAGGTTACATTAGTAAGTCTTTCTGGCTTTTGAGGGTTATAGCTAGGATGTGGGGTCCCGAACAACCTGCAATATAATTAACATAATCTCTTTATCCGCTGACATAAGCAATAAAATAGATGGTGACGGGTAAAGACTTTACTGATGTATTAATGATGACATTATCTGATGGGATTAAGAAGAAATCTCCAAGGTTCGAAGTGGGAACAGTTTTGTGAGCATCTTATGCCTGTTTGTCCTTACCCTCTGGTTAGTCTTTTTCCCATTGATGATTTCCACTGCCAGTCCTAGATCTGAAAGCCTGCAGTTCCCATTCTCATCCAGCAGCACATTCTCGGGCTTCATATCACGATACACAATGTTGATTGAATGAAGATGCAAAAGTCCACACGTTATTTGTGCTGTGTAAAATTGTACACGGCTCATTTCGATTCCCCTGTCTCCAATGTTGTAAATATGAAATTTCAAATCTCCTCCATTCATCAAGGTCATGACCAAGCAAACATGGCTCTTAGTTTCAAAGGCGTAAGACAGATTCACAATGAACCTGCTATTTGTCTTTTCTAAGATCTCTTTCTCCAGTAGGGTCATTTTCTCTCCATTCTTCTTCTTCAGTCGTTTTTTGTCCAACTTTTTACAGGCATACATTTTCCCACTTATTTTCACTTGTATAGCACACACCTAATCAAAACAAATTTTGACACTTAAAAAAGTTGAATTCATTTTCAAAATAGTCCCCTATAAATTGTCTAAGTTTCTTATGTGAGTCTAAAAGGTTCAAAAGCATGCTTAGTTTAACATTAAATATATTTTTACCTTAATTGTAAATCTTTTGGTCAGTTGGATTACGAAATGCAAACTTTCTTGAATTATTACACATTAATAATTACACATATTATTACACAATTGTGAATTATTACACATTATTAAATGACTGAAACCTTAAATTGTACAAAATCAAGCTCTTACCTCTCCAAATCCACCTTTGCCCAATACTCTAAATTCATAAAAGTACTTTTCATTTATAGGCTGCCGTTCAAAGACTTTCCATTGCGTGTACTTGTCAAAAAATGGACTGTTTTGAAAGTCCTGAAAGGGGGTACCCATGAGGAACTTTCTGACTTCTAGTTTAACCATAACAAGGAGATCCTCAAAGTCTTTATCTTCTGCACTTTTGCATTTAGAAGCCAATTCTTCACTGAGAAATGATAAATAATTTTTTGAATCTGCTTTCATAAAGTTGATCACCACATTTTGTAGGAGATTTTCCCTTGCCCCGTTTTCAGCCAGTTCAATATTATTCACTTCATTCAGAAAATCAGTAGCTATTCTATATTCTGGGACTGTTTCTGTAAATTTATGGAAAAACTTTTTACCAATGGGTTGCTGTTCACACACATCCTCATATTCGACACAAATCTTTTGTCTCAACTCAATACATTGATCTCGACTCGGCAGAGAGAGACTTCTTCTTCTCTTTTGCATTTCCTTGATATCTCCATCGACGCTTTTTCTGGCCTGCAGGTAAGCCGTGTTGGCTATTAAGTTATCGAGTCCTCCCATATCACACATCTTGCTTTATTTTGTAGGTCCTCACTCAATGTGAAAACTTCTGCTGCTATACTGTATGTAGCTGGTGTAGCTGTACAGACGTACTGAGTAGTTGTAATGTGTTTTAACCATTAAATACCCTATGCAGATTTCCTTAAGTACCTTTAGATGTTCTGTTCTAGGAAAGTGATATGTAAGAGGTTTCTGTCTTAAGTAGATTTCACATTCTATATTTAGTTGTCGGTGACATTTGTGGTATGCAGTTGATAACTTACTTGAAATAGGTGGTCAAATATGTTAAATTGTAACTTATTCATTCAGATTTTATAACACATTTACTGTATATGATTTGCAACAAAATTAATAATAAATATTTTCATCAAATGTATGTAATAACAACAACTTGCATTTATTTAGCTCCCCTCAAGCAGGGTAGCGTCCCAGAGCGCTTGGCAGTGATGGAGCATGACGCCAAGCCTGGGAGGGGGAAGTGACGTAGGCATAGTCGAAGAGGAAAGTCTTCAGGTGCGATCTGAACACGGGGAAGGAAAGAGCAAGATGTAGGGATAGAGGAAGAGTGTTCCAGAGTTTTGGGGCTTAGCGAGGCCACCGATGGTGGAACGGAGGGTACGAAGGACATACAGGAGGCCGGAGCCAGTCAAGCAGAGCCAGTGGCTAGGGGATTGGGGAGTAAGCAGGTCAGAGAGGTAGGGAGGTGCCAGGGTATGAAGGGATTTGAAAAGGAATGTGAGGAGCTTGAAATTGATCTGTTTGGCAATAGGGATGCAGTGGAACTGGATTTATTTATTATAAGGCAGAGCAGGAGAATTTCACCTTTTGTTGTACATTTACCTGTTTGTGAATTTCCTTGTAAAGATTTTGGAATTCACTTTTGAAGCAAATTAACCTAGAAAATGAATCTTTAGGAGGACACCAGTTTGAATTGAATTAAGCATATTCACAAAAACGAATATATTTTCATTAATTTGGGGAGCTTTTCCATTTCATTTTGCGATGGGGACTGTATAATTTACATTGCTATAAAAAGTCGGTATGTATTATGCAATAATAATCCTTGCATTTTATTTAATGCCATCAAGTCATCAAAACATTTCAAAGTACTTTACAGGATTTTATTATAAAATGTAGTGACAGTATGTTTATTTGTAGGTTAATGCGGCAAACAATTTGCATACAGCAATGTCCGATAAATAGCCATGAAATTAATGACCAATAAACAAGTTAAAAAATGTATAGATTGCAATTTACATTGGTTGGTGACAATAGACTCCATTCTAGTAGATGAGAAAATACTAGGTGAAAAGTAAGCTTACGATTTGAATGGACTTTATTGTATTAAGAGCTATTTGACCATGCTTGAAATTATGTTTTTCATATCAAGATTGATACTCAATGAAATGGAGAACATATAATAATATGGAAAACATTTACAAAATGCAGCATTCTCAGATGCCCAGATGTAGTGCATAGCACACTTTAGGAGGAAGTGGAGAACAAAGAAGCTCAGCAACATGTTGCATTGTACTACATTGCTGGAATTGTTAGTCTGTAGAACCAATGTAAGACAGTTCAGTACAGTATCATAGAAACAAGTTCTTTATTATTACTCCAATCTTAAGATACTTTTGTCACTATTCTTACAGGTGTCCAGTGTAATTCTTTAGCTGAGCTACTGTCATTGTTCATGTGGAACCAGTTGCTAATAGCTTGTAAGGAAATAGTGCAGGATGACCTAACATCTTATTTCTTCTTGTTACTTTTGAAGATGTACACATGCCATGTAAAACTCCACCCCCAGAAAATAAAGCCATGATCAGCAACATTCAATGTAGGGAATTTCAAAGAGCATCTAAGTACCAGGAAACCAATCCTCTTAAATACTTCCAAGTATTGACCTCAGTGCCTGCAAAGTATAAACGATAAAGCTTTTAGATACTGTTCTGATATGATATTTGTAGAACTTGTGGACATTCTGTAATAACATAGCCAGAACTTTGTTGTTAATGTAATGCACTTGGGAAAATCACATAAACAGATCATGAGATGAATGAAATGTTCCAGCTGTATTGCTGGAATACATTAATGATTTGGACTCAGGAATCATCAGTACAATTTCAAAATTTGCGGACAACACCAAATTGGGAAGAATAGTTAATACAGAGGAGGACTGCAACAAGTTACAGCAAGACATTAATAAACTTGCTGAATGGGCATTTAAATGGCAAATGCATTTCAATGTAGAAAAGTCTGAGGTGGTACATTTTGGTAGAAGGAACAAGGAAGTCACATACATCCTGGAAAATAAAAATCTAAATGGGATAGAGGAGCAAAGTGATACACAATTCACTAAAAGTAGCAACGCAGGTTAATAAGGCCATAAAAAGCAAACCAGGCATTGAGGCTCATTTCCAGAGGGATAGAAATGAAAAGCAGGGAAGTTATGGTAAACTTCTTTAGAACTTTGGTTAGACCACACTTAGAATACTGTGTGCAGTTTTGGTCCCCACATTATAGAAGGGATGTAGAGGCACTGGAGATGGTGCAGAGGAGATTCACAAGGATGATCCCAGAACTGAGAGGTTATATCTATTAGGAAAGACTGAACATGCTTGGACTCTTCTCTTGAAAAGAGGAGGGTACAGGGTGACCTGACAGAGGTCTTTAAAATTATGAAAGGTTTTGATAGGGTAGACATGGTAGAAGATGTTTCCACTTGTGGGGGAGACCAAAACCAGGGGCCATCAATATAAAATAGTCACAAATAGATCAAATAAGGAAGATAGAAGAAATGTCTTCACACAGAGTAGTGTGAATGCGGAACATGCTACCACAAAGACTTGTTGAGGCAAATGGCATAGGTGTATTTAAGGGAAAGCTAGATAGGTACATGAGGGAGAAATGAATAGAAGGTTATGCTTGAAGGCTTGGTTGAGGAAGGGCAGAAGGAGGCTCATATGGAGCATAAACACCGGCATAGATCAGTTAGGCTGAATGGCCTGTTTCTGTGCTGTATGTTCTCATGTATTCTAATGTATTGTAGGACATTATGTGAATCACAGCCAACTGCAATTGATAGACTAAGAGAATATCTTAATTGAACAAGTAGTGTTAAGATAGGTCAGTGTCAGTATTCGAGATTTTAAAAATGAAATTTAGTTCTCAACACCTGACAAGCAACTGATAACTGATTTACAAATTAATTACATATTATTTTATTGGGCAATGACATTGAAGGCATAACAATTTCTGTCCAAGCAAATATGTCTATCTTATGTACTTTAAATGAAGGTTTTAGCTAAGGGAACCTAGCTAAGTTGTAGCCCCTTTGCCTAGGGACAAAGATGGCTTTTAAATTATTACAATAATTTGCTGGTTGCCATAGTACCATTCTCCAACTTTAGTGGGCATACTAAAACACATTGCAAAGTTACTGTGCCCTGGTAAGAAGCATTATATCTTATTTTAGACAATTATGGAGTTTATAATAATTTTAAACTGAAAGCCCACATGATTAGAATGACAATCATATCTTAAGTTACTCTGATTAAGTTGATGGGGGTGGGAGTAAGACTGGGTGGAAGATCAGTCCAGACTGCCTCTGACTATTGGAGTGTCCCAATTCTGCTTCATTATGTTGGCCACTGTATATGTTGCTTGTAATTGACTCAGCAGTCTACAATTCCCTCATTTATCTTTTTAAGACCTACAGATCAATACTAATGCCTTACCTTGCCGTTGTACAGTTAGAAGGCTGCTATCAGCTCCATTTCTAAGAGCTTGTGCTTCATGGATGCATTGTTTTAGCAAGCGCTCTGGAACGCAACCCTGCCCGAGGGGCGCTATACAAGTGCTAGTTGTTGCGTTTGTTCATTCTTTTCTAAATTAAAATAAATCTAGATGGACATTTTCATATTCTCAGACGACAGATTTGTCTAGCTCCAACCTCTGTGCCCAATCTTATCCCCTTCCGCATACACACAAAATAAATTACCTTCATTTTGACTGTGATGACAGTGAGCCAGTGTTTATGGGTATCTAAGCAACTGAACAGAGTTGCTACCATGTCTATTTGTATGCAGGTCTCTGCTGTTTAAGGCCTGCATCTTGCACAAGCAACCACTGCTGCAGATTAATTAATTAGTGCTGTATTGTACTGACCAATAAACAATACAAGCTTTTAAACAAAATTGTAGCAAGTACCGGTTATTTAAAATGGCACTGAGCCCTCAAACTTAATTTCATACACAACAATCATTAGTTTGCACCTTATGGCTATAATCCCTTATTGCGATTGGCTGATAAAATTATGGGATAGAGTTAAAATATCTTAAGATATCAGCAGAGCAAAAATATCTTGCGGGATTTACACCGACGTTATGATTTTATGATTTGTCATGATTTTATGTTGCCTTGCTGCAAAATATGATTTGTCATAATTGGGTATGTTTTACTGGACAAATATTAATCTTATGCCTGAAATGCTGTACTCTGTCCAGCGCCTTGGGACGTCCTCCCAACGTGAAACGCGCTATACAAATGTAATCTTGTTGTTATGTCACAAAACACTGTTTATTTTGATTACAATAGAGATAAATATTTAATTAAATCCTATACCAATTAGTAGGGAGTCTTATAACAGCTTGAAACATCCCATAGTGGAACTTCTGCACAATACAAAGCATGTTGTTAGTTCATAATAGTAAATCATTTGCTCAAGGCCCTGGGTGGGTAAAACATCTGACCATTGTAGTATCAAGCCAGACAGACCAGAAAGTTGTAGGTTCGATTCCTACTCTGTGCTGAGTTAGCTGATCATGAGCAACAATATGGGTGGTAAATTGGTCTTAACACCCGGGCTAGGGAGGAGAAAAGTTAGTCATATAAACCATGGGTGTGGACGGCCAAGAATGTGAATAGGATTGGACTCGGCTGTGACATCATCCCAACGGGTGTATAGTCTCCCAATACTCACTCTTTAAATTCATACACAAATCTGCTTTGAGTTGATACGAGAGAATGGTTAGAACATAGAACCATGAAAGAATATGCTAGGAAGTGTCAAGAGACAACATTTAAAAATAAGTCAATTCCAATCAACTTAACAATATGATGTAAATTAAAGTAATCGCTAAAAAATACAGTAAAAGCTAGTATTAAGCAAAGTACCTATTATAAAGTAGTATAACATTTTAACCCCATCACTATATTATTCCCTGGTGTAAAATACACTTGTACATCACTTATCCCTTGCTAACTGAGACACAATGTAAAAATAACACCCCTCTTAAATACTTCATGTATACAAATAACAAAGAAAGAGTATGCCGTATTCATTTCACAACAATACTTGTCATTATTGTTACTAATATATCCATTTCCTTTATGTCTCATTGAAATATTTCTGAGCAATTTGTCAAAGATTTATGTCCAATATAATTTAGAAAATATATGCTTTAAATGCCAGCGAGCCCTTTTCTGCTAGCTTATCAGTAATTCAGTAATTGTGATTTTTAGTAAAACATTTATTCTTAATCAGCCAACAGCAATGCACAGAATCAGCCCTTTGCTGAATGTGTTGTCAAGGCTGATGATTCAAGGGAGCTACATAAGCCTGGCTTTATCTTATAATAATTATGGCGTTATCAGTCTTATCTAACTCACTATACCTGTATATGCAAAAAATACTGTTAAACTTACTAAAGTAAAATGATACCACAAAATACTTGATTAGTATTATAAGAGTTGACAGCATCAGTGAAACCACTGTATCCTTGAAACCACTGCATCTAGTTAATCCACTCCCCTACTGTTTAGTTACATAAATACTGTATTTACATAAACAAGTAAAAAAAACATTCTTAATTCATGCTAGAAGCAGATAGTTACAGGGAATATACCTTATGTTATATATACTACCACCCCCCCTAAACAATGTTTTTTGGGTGACTCAATCTACAACTGTTTGTGGGACACTGCTGTGCGCAATTGGTTGCCACGTTTTGCCCACAATATATTCCGTGAAGCTCTTTGAGACATCTCAACAACATGATAAGGTGCTATATCAAATGCAAGGATTATTATTATTACCGTATGTTGCTATGTAAAAATTAGAGAACTCCCATCTTCAGCAGAAGATGCACTACAGTACTCCTATTATTGCCCCACCTGAGATCAGGTCCCAGAGACTAGAGATACAAACATGATATCTATTTTCCCAGTCAATATTGCTGTTTCACTTACTAACTGAGCCATTAAGATATCAAAGGTTTTCTTAGTGCTCCACCACTTGTCTATGAAACGTCTTAGTAATCCACTATCAGGAGTTTATGATGTTTGGAAGTACAGTATAAGGCAATTTGAGAAAAGTGATTGAAGCATCATATTGCTTGCCGTTGTATAACTGCTCCATTTTGCTAAAACTAGGGTACAGGAACCCACAATATTTATCAGTAAATTTCAGGCTATTTGGGTCAGAGGAGGCAGGGAAAATTGACTGCTGCTGGCTTCTAACCAACCACACTTTTACATTAGTATTACAATACTGGATAGCACCACCTGCAGCTAACAGATAACTCAGGTCACCAATCTGCTCCACAGTCTGTTTACTTCACCAAACTGTTTCATTTGTTTCAAGTAGCGATTTTGACCTACATTTTATACTTAGAATATGCAAAACATCAACAAAAAAGTTCTGAAGAGTGGTTGCAAAGTTATATTTTGGAACTAATCAAGTAATTTAAAAATTTGCAACACTACTGGGCAAATACTGTACCTACTCAGTTGAACCTTCTATGTGGGTTTTATTTAAAAATGAAAACTTGTGTGCCTTTACCTCACTCTTATTTTAGGTCCTCCTTACTTATACAAATGGAATTTGTTGAATTGTTTTCTAAGCTGCTATACCACTGTTGTGAGCTCATGTAAGTACTGCATTGTTGCTGAGGTGATCATCCATTTATATAAGATGTTGATCACCTTGAGGGCAGGTGAGCAAGAAGACCTCAAGCTGCTATAGTCCTCTGAAATCCTATTGCCAGACACCAGCTGTTACCTGCTTTGTTCATCACTGCACTAACCAGGAATAGGCAAACCAATAAACAGAACTGATGAACAAAGGAACTGTCCTGTAACTCAGTGGTTAGAGCACTCTCCTCGCAAGCGAGAGACCTGGGTGCGATTCCCGGCAGGGCAAAATGGCGGGCAAGTTTCCTTACTCCACGCGCCTCTGTTTACCTAGCAGTAAGTGGAACCTGGTTGTTAGTCGATTGGCGGATCGCTTTTCCGGGCATAATAGTGTTCTGACGAAGGGTCGTGGACCCGAAACGTTGACTCACTTTCTTTTCTCCATAACATAACATGTAGGAGTCCTGTAGCTCAGTGGTTAGAGCACTCGCTTTGCAAGCGGGAGACCTGAGTTCAATTCCAGGCAGGGCGAAACCTTGGGCAAGTTTCCTTACTCCACACACCTGATAATAATCCCTCCAAAACCAAAACAATAATAAATTGGTCATTTTCAATCTACGACTGTTTGCGGGACATTGCTGTGCGCAATTGGCTGCCGCGTTCGCCCACAAATATACAGTCAATTCACTTTACAGTGTGTTCTGTGAAGCGCTTTGGGACGTCCTCCCGACGTGAAAAGCGCTATATCAAATGCAAGGATTATTATTATTATTATAGGAGCAGTAGGCCATTCGGCCCTTCGAACCTGTCCCGCCATTCAATCATGGCTGATCTTCTAATCTAACTCCAGATAATAACCTAACCCTGACTTATCCCCATATCCCTAAATCCCTTTTGCAATAAGAAATCTATCTATCTCAGTCAGGCAGCATCCATAGATGCTGCCTGACCTGCTGAGTGTTCCAGTGACTTCTGTTTTTGTTTCTTTACAGTATATTTGGTGAAGCGCTTTGAGACGTCTCAAAGACGTGATAAGGTGCTATATCAAAGGCAAGGATTATTATTATTATTATTTGTAATGTTACCAATACTAAAGGAGGGAGATTATTTTTTAAAAAATTATCATAGGCTATTTGACATGAGATTACAAAGGGATAAGATGCATTCTTGAACAGTTATCAAGGCTGTATTTCACGAAAATATATGTGCACATTGGTTCTTAATATGAAAACCATTGATATTTTTCTGACTACATATAAAAGTGATCCTGTAGTGCTTTAAGTTTTCCAACATTTTCAAAGAAATACAGTACATGGCAGTTCAGTCTTCACCTATATGTCCAGGTCAAAGCCAGATTTGCTACTAAACACTTAGCTGTCATTATCTGTATAATTTGTTTGGTTCCCTGAATTGCCTGGGGATTAGCATGAGTATCTGGGTCAATGATGTGACCTAGGTTAAATGTGTAGCATAACCATTTGATAAGGAGCTAAGTTCAAAGTTACGTGCCAACATTTTAATGCGCTTCATAATCACTAGCATCTAAGAAAATCCTAGTTCAAAAAGTGGACCCCACTGTGCCTCACGTGCCTCAAATGTCCTGGAGACATGTTAGATTATTTGTGGAATGTTTGGTTAATTTTGTAAAGTATTTGACATCATTGAAATTTTCCCCCAAAAATCTTTATAAAGAGCATTGAAATGTCACTTGCACATTTTTCATTAACAACAACTTGCACGTATATGGCAAGTGCATACATATATATACTTAAGATGAAAGAACCGTGGCTCAAAAAATTATACAATTCCCTTAACTCTGCAGATTTATCCTACATGGTTATTAGTTACAGCTACTGCCTAAAAGTCAAATAATTTGCTATTTGACAACATCCCCATCTGCAAGACCAAGATTTGTATTTAATGGGATGACTGACAATCCTACTCACAATACAATGACTAGTGGGTGGGGAAGGGAAGATAAGGGGAAATAAACAAAACTGGTCAATAATATAAGTGACGTGCCTAAAAATATGAGGGGTAAATAATTGTTTTTTTTGTGGCTGAACTGACTATGAGTAATCCTTTACAGACTTGAAAGTGTAGTCATATCCTCAAACCAAAGGTGGCATTTGATGTAGCGCCTTATCATGTTGTTGAATCGTCTCAAAGTACTTTACAGAATATACTGTAAAATGAATTGACTATATACTTTGTGGGCAAAATGCGGCAGCAAATTGCGTACAGCAGTGACCCACAAACAATAGTGGATTGAGTGACCAAACAATTGTTCTTTTTTATTTAGAGGGATTACCCCCAGAAAGCGATCCGCCAATTGACTAACAACCAGGTTCCTAATTACTGCTAGGTAAACAGGTATGTGTAAGGAGGAATAAGAAAACTTGCATCATGTATTGCCCCAATCAAACCTGGGTCCTCTTGCTTGCGAGGCTGCTAACCACTATGCTACAGGACTCTACATAGCTGTTTGTGCTGTAGGTATCAGCAACTTGTAATTTATGTTGAGATTGGAAATGATTAGGGGAAATGATAGCCTTAGTTCATTTGATACTTTACTTGAATAAAATACAAAATTTGTTGCTGTGCAATTTGAGTCACTTACTCTCAGCAGCATCCCTCTTTAGAACAATGTCACAGAACTGCACCAGAAACAGTCAACTCCAAGATACCCTTCGCTCTCTCATTGCCTGAATCCGCTCCGCAGTACATATACCAATTTCTGTCCGAGACACCATTGTGCCCATCCACCAGCCCTGCCACACTTCAACCAGTGGCTTGGAGACGGTGAGGACATCGCCCTCTGTTGCTATGGTGAGATCTGGCCTCACTTCAGTACTGCCCATCAGAATTAACTCATTTAAAATAATCTTCACAATAAAGGAATTAGCTAAAATAAATCAATGCCAAATTGTTTTCTAACATAGCCAAAATATGCACATTTTAATTTCAAAACATACATTGAAACATCAGTCGGGTTGGAGAGTCACCATGTCTTTCAGAACCCAATACACATAATGATACAGCTGAACAAGGTTACAAAATCATTTATTTATAACTTTTAATAAATACAAGACATTCACTGGTGAACGTAAGGATTATTATTATTCCTTGCACATTGGCTGATAAACCTGCATAAATGATGAATGAAACAGCAATGTTACAGTGCCCTGTTTCACATAAAAGGGCAAACTGGGCTCCCAGCAAATTAAATATTGACAGTATCCCTGCACACGGAGTGCTGAGCCAGCCTCTCATTTGCCTATTCTCTGCACCACCCAGTCTTGCTGGCAAAGTGGGCAACGGTTGTTCTGTTTCACCCACAGCGACATGCAGCAGTTGTGGAAGGAGTGGTTGCATTCCCCCCAGACCACTGAGGGAATAAATAAATGCCAGTCAGTATTTCTATGAAAACATTGTCAACTACACAGTAAGGATCAAATCCTATTTTAGAACACGATATACACAATTCAGTGCCTTTCCCTTAGTATAAGGTCTAGAACAGGCTTCAGAGCTAGTGTGGAAACCCAAACAAGGTAAGGAGGTATTAAAGGGAGGTGACCAAAGGCACGGTTGAAGGTAGGTTTGTAAACCCCTGCCAGCCAAGGTGCTGAAGGATAATGTCCTTAACTGGATAACTACTATGATGTATGGTTACCAGTTATTAGGAAATCTCAATGGTCTCTGCTCTAAGTTAAGGAGTGGAAGAATCAGCCTGAGGTCCTCCTTCTAACCACCAGCTTCTAAATCATCTGTTGAACCTCACTGACAAAGGGCAAGGTATCTGAGGGTTACTTGCACTGTATTACAACAGAAAAGGAGTAAATGCTTTCACAACAGGAGACAAAGAGAACAACTCTGGCCAATATTGGCTTCTGCCTGTTCAGGTTCACGTTAAAGATCCCATGGCACTTTTCAAAAAGAGAAGGAAGTTTCTCCTGGTGGCCTAGCCAACAATCCCTCAAATAAAATTAATCATTCACTTCATAGCTGTTTTGTGGTAAATTGCTGTGCAAATCGGCTGGCGTGTTTGCCCACAAAATACAGTCATTGCACTTTATGGTATATCCTGTAAAGCACTTTAGGAAGTCCTCCTGACGTGGAAGAGGCTATACCAAATGTAAGGATTATTATTAATACATATTATACTGAACTGCTGGAGTGTATTCTTCACTCACAGGATCAAGCAATGGCTATAAATGGCTCATGCGTCAACCTTGCACTTTGTTACACAAGCTAATCCTTGGATAAGATTATGCTTTGTAATCACTCAGTCATCCATTATTTCAATGCACATTGTACAAACTGTTTCAGTTGGCTAGTTAGAAGGTACAACATCTTGAGAGGGAACCAAAGGTCCAATTTACCAAAGTCTGGGTGGGTGAGCAAACCGTTAACTGTCCAGTGCCTTGGGACGAACTGGTAAAGCTTTCCACTCTAGTTCTCTATAATGTTTTCCACTTTTATGAAGGCAGCATTAATCCATTAAATATTAATCAATGCATCCAACAGTCACACAGTTAGACTTACCAACACAGTCTTCTTGCTTATTTTCAGCTTGACACCGAAGACAGGCATCTAAACAAATCAAAATGTTTTAATAATGTTGTTTTCGGTGCAGTACCGGTAGAGTGCTGCATTGTCAGAAATGTTATTGTTCGGGTGAAATGTTAAACCAAGGTCCTGTCTGTCTGTTCTCAAGTGAGAGGTAAAGATCTCTCAACACTATTTGGAAACAATGGCTAACAATCCATCATGTAATCTGGCCAATTCACCCACAAAATATACACAGTCACTACACTTTAATTAATACCCTGTGAAGCGCTTTGAGGCATCTTGAAGACGTACTATATCAAATGCAAGGAATATTACTATTGGTGCACAAAATAACTGTTTCATTTACTTTCAAAAAAGTCACTTCATGTGACAGTAATGATATTACAGGTGCTATAAACGTGCAAGTTCTTTCTGCCGAGCTCCAAAATTCTTTGTTAGATCCTACAGCATATCATGTGAAGCACTTTGAGATGTCTCAACAACATGATAAGGCGCTATACCAAACCACAAGGATTATTATTAATTATTATCCCCCTCCCTGCATTCGTATAATAATAATAATCCTTGCATTTGATATAGCGCTTTTCACGTCGGGAGGACGTCCCAAAGCGCTTCACAGAATATACTGTAAAGTGAATTGACTGTATATATTTGTGGGCGACATTGCGCACACAGCAATGTCCCACAAACAGTCGTAAATTGAAAATGACCAATTTTATTATTATTTTTGGTTTTGGAGGGATTATTATTAACTAATTATTAACTCAAAACTCATAACATTGGCATGGTCAAAGCAGGCGGGGGAGGGAGGTATTAAGCGGGGTATCTGGGGGCACTGTTGCCAGATTGGGAAAGTTTTTTGTCGTACGTCGTGCCTTCTCCACGTCTCCCGGACTCTGGTCTTCTCCACGGCTCCCGTCCAGCACAGCCCACCATCAGCTGTCAGGCCATCAGCCTTTCTGCCCCCACCCTTTGGAACTCCATCCCACAGTCCCTGCGCCTCCTCCCTTCATGGACGAGCTCAAGACCCTCCTCCGACCCGCGCCCACCCACCCCCCCCCCCACCGCCCTCCACCCCTCCTGATCCCAACCCCCAGCTCGGGTCCAAACTCCCTGCGTCTCCAGCCCCTGCCGCGACCTCCAACACGCCAGCGGCGCTTTGGCAAATGTAATCCCACGTCGTCGTCAGCGTCGTCCGAGGACCTTTTCTCGCCCGGTTTCGAAAGCGCGCGGTCGGCCAAACCCACTGCCCCCCGAAACCGCACGGTCACCACGGGAAACGCTTGCGTTCGATAAGAGAACCTCTGAGACGTCTCAAAGCGCTCGGCAGCGCAGCACAGGACGGGACCGGACAGGACCGGACAGCGCAGGACAGGACCGGACAGGACAGCGCAGCGCAGGACAGGACCGGACAGGACACGCTGCGGAGTGAAGTGAAGTGAAGTGACTGGAGTATTTCGTGGGGCGAAATAGGACGGAGGGGGGAGGGAGAGGGGGAAAAAGGAAAGCGCAATATATGGGGCTATTTTTTGGGCTACTGTTTGGGTGACTTTGGGCTACTTTTCCCCAGACAGAGCCTCCCTCAGGAGAGGGACACACACACACACACACAGACAGGAGGAGGAGGAGGAGGAGGTTCGGTTTCTCTCTGTTAATAAACACTATTCCCCCCTCAGAAATCAACTGCCGCCCACAGGGGTTTCGGGCTTCAAACCGAAAGCGGCGACACCGGGCGTTCGGCTTCCCCTCACCCCGACCCCCCCTCCCTCCCTCCCCGGGTTTCCAGCTCCCTGCAGCGGCCGCGCTCCTCACGCGAGGCCCCGGCTCCCGCGGCCCGCACTCGGGACTCACCCATGACCTGGACCCGGCAGATGGCGCAGGTGTCGCACTCCACGTCCCAGCTCCACATGGCCACGGCGTTCCACTTCTTGAGCGTGAACATCTTGTCTCCGCTCCGGCCCGCGGGGCCCACCACACTGGGCACCGAACCGGGCTCCTCCGCCTCCTCGTCCGCCATCGCGCCCGCCGCCTGGCCGCCCGCCGCTCACCTCCGCGCTCGCCGCCAGGGGGCGCCTGGAGGCGGCCAGTGACACCGGGGCACCGCCAGGGGGCGCGCTGTCGCCAGGGTGGGTGGTGGGGGGGCGGTGGTGGTCGCTGGGCGCAGTGTCACCGAGAACCATCAAAAGGGGGTGTGAAGACACCAGGCGGCCACCAGAGGGCGCGCGGACACCACCACCACCACCACCAACAACAACAGCAGCAACAATTTTTTTTGTGGGGGTCATTCCAGGTGTCTGACACGTGTGGAAACTCATCCCCATACTTGAGAGCATCCAAACCGGACCGGGAATGCCATGCATCCCAACTCTACATGGAAATTCCGGAGACAGATTGTTGGAATGGAACGTGCGCCCCCCTCTCCCTCCCTCCCTCCCTCCCTCCCTGGAGGGACACGTGCTGTTTACCTAATTCCCGGGAAGTATTCGAGGCGGGTTGGCAAGGACCGGGCTTGGGGTGGGGGTGGGGGGGGGGACCCCAGAGTGTGCGTTGAGGTAAACCGCCGGAGTCCAACCTGCTCAAACCGCAAAGCTTGCCATTGATATCGTTGTCCGCCCAGCTTTTCCCGCTGCTTGTCCAGCGGGGACCACCCCGCCAGTTGGGGCTATGGCTCACAGGGTTAACAGGAGCTGAGTGATAACCACCAAACAACAAGAACTTTTATTTATAAAGCGCCCCTCACGAAGGTACCGGTCCCAGAGCACTTGACAGTGGTGGAGCGCAACGCCGAACTGGGGGGAGGTGGCCGTCGACATGGTTGAAGAGGAAGCTCTTCAGGCACGACCTGAAGATGGGGAAGGAGTAGGCAAGGGAGGGAGAGTATTCCAGAGATTCAGGGCGTAGTGGCTGAGGATCTGATGATCCATCATTGTCCGGACCAATAGGCCAACAAGTCACTGGGATGCGGTGTTCTACATTGCTGAATGGAACACCACAAAACAGCAGTGAATGCATCTTCTCGGACTTTACAACAATCACTTGTGTGTAATGACTTTATTCATCAGCAAACACAACAGTTTGCACACAGCGAGGTCCCACAAAACGCCCATGAGGCGCATGACGCATTTAACTCAACTGTTGATTCACATCAATGGCAAGAGAGAGAGGGAAAGCGGAGCCAAGTCAACTCTTTGTGAGTGATTTGGGATCGAATACCTAAAATGGGCTCCAAGGGTTTGGTGACTGCTCAGACTGTCATCAGTAGGTCCTGGAGTAGACATGTCAGTGTAGGACAGTATTTGTCTTCTGACAATTCAGCTACCTCACAGCCTAACAGGTAGGGGGTTCCTAGAAGAACAGGCAGCAAAGGTTTACCAGTGTCTTGTTTGGTGAAGCTGCTTGTTGAATTGAGCAGTTATTTCCATTGTTGAGATCCCTTGTGTCTTGGCTGCTGTCAATTTGCTCTCATATTCCCCAAGACATAAGCAAGTGAGATGTGTGTGTTTCCCTTCCCCCATCCCAGCCCAAGGGAGATTGCGGTCTCAGAACTAAGAAACAGATTGTGAGTTCTCAGTAGCTGTGCTCTTAAACATTGCAAGGGAATCGGATCGCACGTGGCCAGACTCCCAGTTGATCAGAGTAAATAAAATCTCTCACCATCAGGACAAGAATAAATTTGGTCTTCTACACTTACACATCATACCCAATAGAGGGCAGCACAGGGGTAGTCACCCGATGTGTCCAGGTCTGGCTGGTGCCTCTGAGGTTAGACGTAGCAGTGTGAGAGCTTTATCTCCTTTCTTTCAGAGAAAATGAAATAAATAATTGCATGAAATAAATTATCCATGCGTCTTAGCGTCTTTTACATCAGGGCGGACATCTCAAAATGCTTCACAGGCTTCACAGGAAAGTGTAGTCACCGTGTATTTTGCAGGCAATCACAGCAGCCAATTTGCACACAGAGTAATGTCCCACAAACAGCCGCGGAGTGAATGGCCAGTTTTATCTAGCAGTTGTTGGCCAGGATACCGGGAGAAACTCCCTTCTGCTGCTTGTCTTTACTCGCTGCACCCTGCAGAGTGTTGTACGTGCAGCTGTCAGGTGAGAACAGTATAAAGGGTCTTCTGATAGAGATACCAGAAGAGCCACACACCAGAACGAGCAGCCCTCAACAACAACAACAAATAGCACTTTTTTAGTGCCTTTCACATCGGGAGGACATGCCAAGGGACTTGGAAAGGAAGGGTAAAGTGTAGCCATTTATTTGGGGACGGTCTTCCAGGTAAAAACTACAACAAAAGCAAAAAATGCTGAAACCGTCATTTCGCCTTGGCTCTTGCCAGTCTGCGCCGAATACTTCCGGGAATTAGGTAAGCAGGATGTGTCCCTCCAGGGAGAGAGTGTGCATTTCATTCCAACAATCTATCTCTGGGATTTCCATGTGTAGGTGGGTGTATGGAAGTCTCAGTTTGATTTGGATAATCTTAGACATGGTGATGGTTAAATCCCTGACTGTCCAGAGGCTTCTGACATGAAAGCCACTATACAAATGTAAGTTGTTGTTGTTGTTGATGAAGGATTTCCACATGTGTCAGGAAAATAAAATTAAGAATGTGTTTCTCAACAATGCACCTGGACTGATCTCTGGGCTAAGAACTCAAGAGAGTTTGGATGAATGACAACATCAATCAACAGAGTCAGCTTTTGCAATCTCTCCCCCCGCCACCCTACCCCCCCCCCCCACCCTGCCAACTGAGAGACAGTCATGTCCTTGCATTTGATACAGTGCCTTTAATGTTGAAATGTCTCAAAGCACTTCACAAGAGCTGCTTTCAAATGGAGTTGTCTCAATCCCTTCTCCCTCAGGAATAGCTGCATTCTCTGTATGTCTCAGTTGATATGTTTCTCCTTAGAGTAAATGTGAGAGCTTTCAATTGATTTTAAGCTGTGGAGAACCCTCTTACTACCAGTAGATGGAGATGTTATGCTTTGCAGCTATCCCTTAAGGTTTTATTGGTGATCAAACCCACCCAACGCAACCTCGACTCACTTAAGGTGGAAATGTCATCCTAAAATGTCACATATACACACCACAATCAATCCAGTCCTGCCCTGGTGTCAGCATACACTGGGAATTCAAAGTCCCGAGATGGGACTTAAACCCACAGTCTTCTGATTCAGAGGTGAGAGTTCAACTTACTAAGACCAGCTAATTGGGCAAATGCTAACGAAGTGTCGCACATACAGAATTTGGTCGATCAATTCATCTGCTTTGGGTGACATCAAATGTGGCAGGAATATTGGCCTGGAAAACCTGGAGAACTCTTGCTCTTCTTCAACAGTCATATAATAATAATAATCCTGGCATTTGATACAGAGCCTTATCATGTCGTTGAGACGTTTCAAAGCACTTCACAGAATATACTGTAAAGTGAATAGACCGTATATTTTGTGGAGCTGCGGCAGCCAATTGCACACAGCAGTGTCTCACAAACAGAGGTGGATTGAATGACCAATTTTTTTTCCTTCCTAGAAAGATAATAATAATCTATTAACTGAGTTCCTACTTAACTACTAGGTAAAACAGAGGCATGTCAAGTAAGGAAACTTGCCTAAGTTTTCATCCTACCTGGGAATCAAACCCGGATCCTCTCCCTTGCAAGGCGAGAGCCCACTAACCACAGGACTCCAATCTTTAAAGATACATCAGCACTGGAAAATATAATGTCTCATGGGGAACGGGGGGACTAAGCCTAATTTCTTACAGATCCTGAATGCACGGTTTGTGAGTCAGAATATAACAGGTTACACCTTAGTAAATGCTGATCGCATCCCAAGCACAAGAACAGTCAGAAATCATGAAGCCTGAAGCATTTTCTGCAATTTGTTCTGACAAATTTGACACAAATCAATATTTCTGTTTATTCGCCCTCAGTTCCTGGCAGATATCCACAGCTTTGTTATGGAAACTACACATCACTGGACATGGTATCAGTACTAAGCCTGAAAACATAACTTGGGAATCTAAACTAAACCAGCATCCAGAGGGGAAGATCATACGTTATAAATTCAATTCATTTTATACAGTGAATACAGAGAGTAGATTTAAGGCCATTGTGATTGTTACCCAGCAAACTGCAGAAAGGCCACAAGCCAATCGCACTGTTACAACTTGGCTCATTAGTTAGGATTGTTAATGGGGACACTCAGTTTCTGTTAACCCTGCAAGCCAAAGCCCTAACAGGTAGGGTGGTCCTAGCTGGACCAGCAGCGGGAAAGCTTGCCAGAGAGTGATATCAATGGCAAGCTATGCAATTTTAGCTGGTTAGACTCCAGCAGTTACCCCAACGCATAGGGAGAGAGTGTGCATTCCATTCCATCAATCTATCTCTGGAATGTCCATGTGTACGTGGGTTGCATTGAATTCTCAATTTGGTTTTGATGCTCTTCAGCATGGTGATGGGTTTCCACATGTGTCAGACACCCGTCTGACCCCCCCCTCCCACCCCTCGGAACAATGGTTCAGAAGATTTGTCTGTGCATTTAATGGATATGTATGAGACCTCTCTGTGAGCCTCATAAACAATAGGTCTTGTCCTCCCTCAAAAATGGCACATTGATTTCTCACTGCCAGCAGATCCATTAACAGTCTCTCGAGGAAAGCCATTGCTCTCCTCTTCTCTCTGAGTGAATCTGAACATCACGGCAAAGGATTATTAACTCCCTTCATTAATTTAAAACTTGGGTCCTGTGCCACTTCAATCTTTTTCCAATGAAAAAAGATATAGTCTGATAGATTTATAGTTCAGTGATCTGAAGCCTAAAACATCATTGATTCCCTCTGAGGAGCTTTTCCTAATGCCTCCGTAGCACAACAATGTGCATTAGCACCGTTCTCACTCCTGCCTTCCTGAACACCAGGAGGACACTGTCAGTGCCTTGGACTTGCATTCTATATTCCAACATGTGATTTGTCTTTGCGACTGGTGCTCTACACTGCACAGACAATATATACACAACGCAGAACAAGGGCTAGTTAGATATGTTC